CAATATGTATCCATATGATGCATTTTCAATATTGTAAGCTACTCAGTTTTGGGGGGGGACTTGGGTGACCTCAAAAACCCAATTAATTGACTTAAAAGTAAGCTAATTAAGGAGAGATTAGGTAATTCTAGTCCTGTGGGTAGAATATATTTCTAATTCATTTATGACTGCTAAGGGTGGATATATCAATAAAAGATAATATTTGTTGCTCAGGATTAAACTGTAGGATCTTTGTTGCTCTCTGAGCTTGGTGGTTTTGTTGCAGACGTTTCATTACCAAACTAGGTAATATCATCAGTGCATTTCAACCTGTTTAACCTAATCCAGGGATGTCAAACTGCCAGCCATGGGCCGGTTTCATCATATCGGAGCCGGGCCCACCCCATTGCCGGCAACGGCGAAAAAGCTCCAATATGTTGCACGATATCACATGACGTCACGGGTTTGACATGTTTGGCCTAACCCAATGTGTTATGTGGACCAAAGGAAAGCAGCAGCAAAATACAATTTGGAAGGATATGCTGCATCTTCTTTGTATGACAAATCAAGTTTGATTATCTGTTTTTATATTTTCCTTTTCTGCTTCTTGTTAATGTTGAGCCACTGCCCCTCATTAACTTTTTATCAGAAGGGAAACCTTGGGAAATTGGATTCTCCCTCTGTGAGCAAATGGGGCGGTTCAAAATGAAGCAAATTTGCTGCATTTTCAAGCATTGCATTTGCACACCGAAGGAGCTCCCCATCTCCCCAAGGTCTCCCTTCGGATAAAAGGTGTTTGAGTGGCAGTGACTTGAGTTTCTCTGCTCCATCCTTAAGGAAGAAACCGAAGGCGCAGAGCAGGATTGTCCTCAAGAAGACGCGGGTGCGCTGCTTGCTCGCATGCACCAGCCTTATTGAGATCAATACTGCTCTGCACCTCCAGTTTCTTCTTTTCAGACAGAAAAGAGAAACTCAAGCTGCTGCCGCTCAAACACTTTTTATCTGAATGGAAACCCTGGGGAGATAGGAAGCTCCTTTTCTGAGAAAATGGGGTGATGTAATCAGTGAATCACTGCTTCTTGAGAGCAATCCTGCTCTGCACCTCTGGTTTCTTCCTTAAGGATGGAGCAGAGTGTTTTTTTGCTTTTCAGAAGTGATACAGATTGTATATAATTGGCTTGTTTGTGATTTAGAAATGACAGCATAATATATTGATATTTCAAAATATAGAAGAGTTCAGTCTAAGAACTGCCTATTTTATTGGCACAATACATGATGTTGAGTAATTACTGGCTGTGTTATATGAACTACAGTAATTAGCCTATTTGCTACTAAACCTGCTTTTCCCCTCAAACCAATTAGCTCATGACACATAGTATAGCATTCTGACTTCACATAATCCTCTTACGCTATATTCCAATCCATATTTTCCAATCCACAGTCAAATTAAAAATAGATTCCTTTTCTCCACTCCCCTGAATCTCAGGGATTTCTCCATGAACAAAATCCAGTTTTCTAACAAAGCAGTTTACTTTCTTAGTTCTCTATCTATGGTGAAGGGCTGTTTGTAAAACTTAAATTCTGCATCTGGCCTCCCAAATATTTCCATTAATTCTGTAAGTCCCTTTTCAGTATACTTAACCATGAATGAACTTGCTAGAAATGTAGATATAGTATGCTTATTATCAGTTTTTTTCTAGAGAAAAAAATGCATTTCTACTTAAGGAAAATAATACAACTGTATATTCTTTTTTTATGATCACTTTGTTTTTTAAGAAGCAAAGTTTGCATTTTTTCTATTTCTGGTCATGGAGACCAAGTATCTTTCTTGAAATGTATGATATTGGAAAATGATATGAACTATGAACTGGATGAAATTTCAGCAAGTTACAAAATGACAAATAAGGTAAATAAATATGGACCAACTCCTCAGCCGTTCCACACATTTTTAAATTACCAAGGTTGAAAAACACTGAACTGATATATCTATGTGAGGAAAAAATGAGCTAGTTACATACTATGGTTTTTACTATCACTGAAAATGTTCTCCTCCAACTTAACAGGAAATCAGGTACTTTTCAGCTGATACATAATAATGCAGAACTATGTAGAACTGAGTTGAGAGTTATCTCATAAAAAAAGATCCGAAGGTACTTTTCCTTTCCTTTGAAGCAGAGAACAATTGCAACAAATGCCACCTTCAGTGCTAACTAAACTTTCTCAAACTACCAAAACAGCTTCAAGAGTTCTGGGAGATTGATAAATGAAATACACAACAAGAAAATCCAGTGCCAAGAATACTACTTATTTTGTTTGGGAAATCAAATTTAAGATCCAAGTCTTCTGTTTTGAAATTGATTTTTTTTTATCCACTAGGAGAGCCCATAGTAAGCAGCCAGAAATGCTGAGAGAATATAGTATATTTTTATTATATAAAATACAGGGTTGATCACAGGTTTGAAAACAAAGCATCATGTAGTACTATGATTTCATTATTGCTCACACTAGGAATAAACGTTTAATTTGATCCATAATTATACTTCCATTTCTTTTTGGTTTAATCTGAAACATCAGAGAGTTAAATCTGAATTTAAAACAATGCCTAAGTTGTCTCTTTTGATGAAAAACTGTCTATTGCTAGGGCATCTTCATTGCCTTTGGTAGTCTTGCGGAGAAGTCTAGGTCCAGTCAATCTAATTATCACAGCTCCAGCAGGAGCTGTGATCAAGATTGCAAGGAAAGCTATTGTCACGATGTACATGCCATATTTTTCTAGCTTTTTATCGTTATATTCTCGTGCTGTATCTAAGGCAGTAGAACCAATTGCAGCCTGTAGACAGATTTTTTTAAAAAGTCACTGATCTGAGTTCATATATTGCACTAAATCATGGTTTCTATAGCACAGTTGTTAGGATTCAAACATCACATTATGCCATAAAGAGAAATCACAATTTTTTAGTTCACCTATTGTGCTAACAAAAACCTAGACAAAATAAATCAGCACAATTAATAAAGCAGGTCCATCCATTGCACCTTAAGTTCATGGGATAACTTTCCTTTTTTCTTTTCTGTTTGCAGTCAGTCACATCCCTCAAAGTTCTCCTATTTGGAGACACATGCCTCAAATCATGTTTGCTTGGTTAAGATTTTTTTCAGACAATGTCTCATTGCTTGTTATTTGTCTTCTATACAGTATTATTCTAGCACAGCATTTCACAATTGGAGTATCCCTTTGTGTGTGCTTTGACTTCCATAATTTGCCAAGCAGCATGGCCATTTCTGAGAATTTTAGGAATTAAACGCATTTGGAGGGCATCCAAATTGGAAAATATTGTTTCAGTACTAATCAAGAGTATTTGGAAACATGCAGCATGGCATCATTTTAGATGTGTAACACCCCAATTAAATTGAATATTCTGATGCTTCAACACAAAGGAATATCTTATACATGTTAGGTTTCAGACCAGTGTAGTTACTCCTGAGAAGTATTATATTTCTGGTCTCCTCAGTTATAAAATCAAAAAAGCCATAATGGGCATGTCTTTGAAAAAAAAAGTAAGGGTGATCACTTAGTGCTCTTACCCTATGGGCACAATTATATATTCTTAAAGGCATACTGTATTATTTTTTTTTGCAAAACCCCCAATTATCTAAAGTTCATAATGATTATATCAAACTCTGAAATGCCTTATGTGAATACCTTTTGTGGATGTTTAAATCTACTTGGGAGTCTCCCAAAAAATTTGATTGGCTAAAAGAGGCTTTGGAACTTCTTGGGTTTTTAGGTCTACTCAGAAATCTTAAACTACTGAGATCAATGGTACTTATTCCAAATAAATGTTTATAAAACCTCAGTTTTGAGTAGAAAGAGTCATAATACTGTTTATTGATCATAGTGAAAAGAATATTAACCATCTATCTCATAACCATGACTATTTTTAATTCTTCTTGTCTATACCTAGGACTGAAGGTTGTAACTGCTTCTCTGTTATTGCTTTCCAGTTCAAAGGCTATGTCACTTTCCTCTCATCAGTACTGCATGATAAATTAATTTCCTTGAAATTGAATGTTTATATTTTTGTGAATTTCTATTTCTAAGCAGTACTGTGGATAAAATGTATTAATGCGTTTGTATTTAAATATGTTTTCTTAATGGCATTGATAAACAGATAAAAATGATAGACAAATAATGTGATTCTCATATTTGCACAAAGAAACCATAAAATGCTATAAAACACCCTAAAGAAGTAAAGGATTAACTGTTGCAAATAGTAAGCATTAGAAAAAATAACTGTTGTCATAGGTGATCTAAAACATGTAGCAAATAGTCTATGTGAAGTTTCCCAAGAATGTCCTTGCCATAATCTCGATACCAGTCTGCCTTACCTAACTCATGCACAGGCATTCAAAAGGAAGACCTCTATATTAAAACAGATGCAAAGAAATATCTGATCCCAAAGCAAGGCTGGAAATTTATTGTGGCTGGGCAGAAAACATACCAAAAGACAGCAGGTTGACACATACCAATGAGTTCTTTGTAGACCATTTTCTTTACAAATAGCATTCACAACATATATACACATTGTAGTGCTGCCAGAGAATCCCAGGCATGAAAAATCAGTCATTTTCAATCCAAGATAAGAACTTTTCACTACTTTGGAGATCTGGGGTGGGCAGCAGGTGGCCTTCCAAATCTTATTGAACTATAACCCCCCCACCGTTTTGTAACCAGCATAGCCAGAGGTATGGTAGAAGTTTAGTTCAGCAACATTTGGAGAAACATATAGTAAATGATCTATTCTGACTTTAGTGTCAAAATCAATTGAAGGGCTATATAGGCTTTTAAAATTTCATCATCAGTCAGAACTCGGTGCTTCTGAATAGAAGAGAGCCATTCTCATATTTTGTCTCTACCCACCACCTCACTCTACCCATTTGGTGTTAAATATATTTATATGTCTTCATTGATGCAACTCCCTGATTTACATAAGGTTCGGGTCAAATATACAAAAATACTCTACCTGGACAGTTGCTTTGGGGATCCATGCCAGTGCAATAAATAACTTTTCCTTCCAATGAAAACCAGAGCCAGTCACCAACAAAAACGTAGCCAGAATTCGAACCGCTAAAGCCAAAAACATAGTGGCCAAACAAAACCCTGTAACAGATCAAACTTAACTGTTTCACTTGGACTGGGATAATATTTGCAAGAGCAAATGCCAGGCAATGACAATCTTGATCGATAAAATATAGCTAAATATTTTTCACATGGAGCCAGTACATTTTATGAAACCGATTAGCTGCGGCTGTATTTGCTTATTAATTAGTTCGTTATCAAAAATTAGTGTTTTTTTAAAAATTAGGATACTTTATTTGTAGCCAGGACTCCCAATTGATCAGGAGCAAATGCCTAGATCTCTCCCAAAGGCAATAATTACTGAACGTCGTCTTTATAAGGCAGCGGTTCTCAACCTGTGGGTCGCGACCCCATTTGGGGTCGAACGACCATTTCACGGGGGTCGCCAAACAACGCGATCCGCCATTTTTTTTCCTCAGCCGGCGCAGGGGGCGATGCCGCGCATGCGTGCCGCGCAGGGGGCAGTGCATGGGGCGGCACATGAGGGCGCCACCGTGCATGCGCGCCGCGCAGGGGGCAGCGCCACGCATGCGCGCCGCCTCCTTATGACTGGGGTCGCCAGTATAAAAAGATTGAGAACCACTGTTATAAGGGAATAGCAGAAGAATTTTGTTGAGATGTACAGATCTCTTCTGCAAACAATGTCTCTTGCTTTCACAGTATTGCAAAAATAAGATTCTGACATAATTATACTAAGTTGTAACTTTTCAGGCATTTTATAATTGTTTTGGAAAACTATTTCATTATATATAATCATAAATGGTTATTCATCTAAATGCAAGAGTGTGTATAAACAGAATTTTAGTTGCATGACCAATAACATTTTATAAAAAAATTCTATGTTGGCTGCATGGAGAAATATAAGCATGTTTTAATTTGGAAGGGGCATTCAACTGCTAGTTTATACATTGCTATAAACCACAATATAATTTTAAATCATGATTCATGACCCACTGTGTTCTATGAATGCAATCAATTCTGACTAAGATTCTCATTCTCATAAGGAAGCCAGGCACAATATTTCAGAATGCTATAGCTTTTCTTTGCAAACTTACCAACAGTTTCAAATCCAATATTGGTAATGGATATTTCAGCTCCAATTAGTCCAAATAGAAATGGTTGGAACACTTGCCATGCAAAAGTAACAATATCTTGCACTGCTTTCTACAAGACATAAGTTTTACACCAACAAGTGTCGATGGTACTTGTGCAGCAGAGTTGCATATCTTAAAATTAATTTGTCCAAGCAAGATACTACTTTCCTTTTTCTAACACTAGAAATTGGATTCTGCCATTAATTGTGAAGAAGTACCATCATCCGTCAAGGACTGAAAGCAACCATTATGTAATTAACAAGAATGTAATGTAGCACTAGAAAAATATTTCAATATTTCAAAGACCAAAGTTAATGTTTGAAATAGATTGCCTTTATTTTTAATTAAATATATTTCAATTCGGAATTCTCCAATTTTAACAAATAATGACTCCATCTACATCAAGTATCCAGATAGCCAGTGCTGCAGATTTCTTTTTCCTGCTGTAGCCCTGCCTTATGCAATATTCTGCTATCAGAAATTAGAATGGTTCCCAACTTTGCTGGCTTTTTGGAAATCTTTAAAAACTTGGCTGTGTACCAGAGCCTGGGGCTCAGACTGTATTAAGGGCCCTGATACTTGACTTTATTTATTTATTTAAGAGACTTATATTTAAGTGCAAGCACTCTCTAAACGGTGTACAGCAGTAAGCAATGTATATATATATTTACATTGCCCCCAACAATCTGGGTCCTCATTTTACCTACCCCGGAAGGATGGAAGGCTGAGTCAACCTTGAGCCTGTGAGATTTGAACCGCTGACCTGCTGAACACAGTCAGCTAAAGTGGCCTGCAGTACTGCACCCTAACTGCTGCGCCTTGTGGATATTTTTAATGTTTTCAATTTGCTTTGTTTTATAATTTTAGAATTGTAAACCATCTAGAGTTACTTAGTTGAGTTGGACAGCTTAAGAAAATGAAAAACTAAAACCTCACTTCGAAGAGAAAAAAAACCCCTGCCTTGCCTTATTATAGCAAATGGTTTGAACTGTTTTTATATGGAGACAAGGGGGAATCTTGTGTGATGTTCCGGTGAATCCTTTTTGTATAAGAAATCTTGAACCTCTGACTTCTAAACTGCCTGATCTGGTTCTCAGAACCCTGGAATGGATTTGGACTATTCTTCTGAGTTCTCCTGCTAAAGCAAATTTCAGGCAAGTTTCTGGTTTGATTACATTTTTAGTCACTGTTTTATCTCTTCAGGCTTGAAATAAAATTGCTAATCTCCACAGTAATTGTATGCCTGTTATTGAAAGTTGAAGCAAGATAGGTTGTTCTGGCAGCAAAACCAATATCCCAAAAAATCTGTATGACTGTTACCTGACTTGCCATTATTTATCAATTCAAATAAAAAATGCTGAAATTGTTTGAAGATTAAATAAGATAGTGAATAAAATGTTTGTGTGTCATGAAATAAACTGACAGTACGTATTTGGTCTAAATCAGTAAAAAGAGAAAATGTTCGTTTGCTATCAAATCATGTGTCACTTCCTAGTAATTATATGGATAGATTTTCTCCAAATGATTTTCTCTTAACTTGGCTTTTAGGTCTTTCGCTGTTGTCATTAAACCTACCTAATTTCCATTTAGCCTTGTCTTCAATTCATCTTTTCCAGCCCCTTTATTGAGCAGCTACTTTGGTAAGACTTGGAGAATGAGTGAGAATGGTCTGTGTGTATGTGTTAGCGAACTCTCACTATAATGTAACCAATAAAGTTGGATTAACAAAATTATTTGTGCGCTGTATGTCATTTTATGTGAGACATTTACCTGCCCAAGATCCTACAAGAGTTAATATCAAAATAAGTAGACGGCAACTTTGCTTTAATTCCAATTTTTGGAGTATACACACATTTGGAAGTTTTGCTCACACAAAACAGCTTCCACAGAAGGCATGATCAATCACAAGTGTTTGTGTTTACTAGAAGGCAAACTGTAAATTTGCTCTCTTTTATCTTTTTTTTTCTGCATCCATCACAACAAAGCACTGGGCTAGACCACCTATCACAGTTATTTTCTCAGTATAACTATGCCTCCTATATGAGCCCAAAGGGATTCCTACAAATATGGGGGTGGCATACTGCTAGGAAACTTCTATTCAGTTTTTTAACTGTAAGAATCTGAAGAAATATACCTCCATCCCCATACTGATACACATGGGCATCACATTACCTACCTTTGTCCCAAACTAAGACTAATCAGTTGTGTTAAAAAATTAGTGGTATCTATTTTTGGGAATCAGAACCAGGACTTTGATGTGTGGTAAGAGAATTCTCACCTTTTCATCAGAACATGCCATTCCAACCAGAAATGACAAAACAATGACACAGAGTCCTCCAGATCCTGGAAGGCCAAAATATTTGCAGCTTAAAAGAGAAAATGCTGAGAAGCCAATCACAAAGAAGGCTCTTTTCCATACAATGGATTTCTGAAAGAGAAATGGAAAAGGAATATAATTACTAGAGTGCAGCAGGACAAAACATGTTGCACACTGCCTCCAGATGGTAAGTAAAGCATATATCTAAGGAATGTATAATGAAATAGGCTGCCCTGGGCAGTGGGATCATGATGTAATTCCAACTTTCTTTCTAAAGCTTGGATGTTGATAAGGAAGTGTGTATTATCCCTATAAACTCATAACATAATATTCACTTGCTTGCTGACAGGAAATCCAACTTTTTCAGTAATAATTTATTGCAGAGAAGCTGAAAAACCAGAAAGTTCAAATATATTATTTTTGTAGCTGCTGGGCTGCAAGCAGTCAGAATTCTCTTTTTAATATTTTAAATAATGACACGATACAGTGTTGCATTTAAAATAATCTTGGGGATGCGATGTTTTCATAGGGTCCTACCACCAGTTTTTTATTTTTCTTCAATTATATGTCTTCTTTTTTTATCAGTGTTTTTCTTTCTGTTTTTCTTCCCAGAAAAGAAAATGCATTCAGTAAAATAGAACAACTACATAATGCTTTTGATCAGTCCATCTGGAAGTACTCTACTTCCAACTTTCTCAACTTCGGCAACTTTAAGATGGGTAGACTTGAACTTCCAGCATCTTGGCTGTGGAATTCTGGGATTTTAAATCCACCTATTTTAAAAATTGCTAAGCTTGAGACACAGTGCTCTAGTCTAGGACACAGGTAATTTCCATTTTATCAAATTTCAATAATTCCTACTTCATGAGACATAAATCTGAAATCTACAAATCAGAAAGTTGGATAATTTTAAACCTTTCTCCCAAAATTTCCCAATAAATGATAACAATGATAGTCTGCCATTAGTCAAGCTAAACCTTTTGAGTTTCTCAGTCTGCATAACTGGGAAGTTCTTAACCCTCTTACTCTTGATCCCAGGTCTAGGAGGAAAAAAAAGGATTTTTTTTTCTAGCCAATGTCCAGAAATACCAAATTTAACCCAGTTTTGTGCCAATCCTGAATCTATGTAACTCTGCAGTCTTGCATGTGCAGAATGTTTTAATGAAAAATTCCCTTAAAAATTACTCATGTCAAATCTATAAAATGAAGCTATTAAAAAATGTAACATATGGAAAATAAGTGACGGCAACACACATAATAGTCCAAATAAACCTCATTTATATAAATCCAATACAAGTAGCCCATTGAAGGACTATTTAAAAAAAACCCCTCCCTTTTAAGACCTGGTAAAGTTGGGGTGACTGGATGGAATTACGCATTTACTGGTCAGATGCCCTTCCTGATATCATATGGAGTTCACAGTAGATATTTTTTCTTAGCATCCTAGGAGAGAAATATCTGCTGCTACCTAGATTGAACTCTCACCTTCCAAGTGGGAGGTGAGTGTCTTCAGCACTAGGCCACCATACCACTCAACTGAAAGACTAATTACTACTTACTAAAATAAGGTCTTAGGTTTCAGGATATATCCATTGCAGAATGGATGCCTGGAGAGTGATCATCTGGACCTCTTTTAGGGAAACGGGTCTTATAGTTCCTCCTTTAGTCTTCTCTTTTGTTTTTCTCTCCCTCTAGTACTTATACCCAGTTTTATAGTGGAATTTAGCCTCTTTACAGCAGTGGTTCTCAACGTTTGTGTGACGGTGACCCCCGTCACACAAACGTGCCACGCATGCCGCCCCCTGAGGGGGGAAAATGGCGGATCGCCTTCTTTGGCGACCCCCGTAAAATGGTCGCGACCCATAGGTTGAGAACCGCTGCTTTACAGGGAGTTACTATTAATTGCTCCATCAAAAACAATGTCCCATCTGTGATATCCTAGGTCTAACTGGCAAAATAGACTTCAACTGGGTGCTAAATCTAGTTTCCAATTTTTAGTCTACTTTTCACCAATTCTGCATTTGTAAAAATAGGAATGTGACACATTTTGGAAGGAATAACTAAATTTCTTCTATTTCAGTTTCTCAGAATGTGCTCAGTTTATCAGATGCTTTTACTGTAAATACAGCCTACAAAAATGTGGGCTTTGTTACAGAATATTTTCCCAACAGTATTGTTTTCACCTGATCCTTGCTTGGAAAATATCTAATAAAAAATCCTAAAAGGCAACCAGCACCTGCACCAATAACAACTTCCACCAGACCACGAAAGATGCTACGAAAAGTGGATCCTATGAAAAAGAAATAGGGAAAAGTCAAAAAGATATTTTAATGTAATTTTTTAGTGATTTTAAAAATACAAGTAAGCAATTTCTGCAAAACTTAAGAAAACGTTAATCACCATAAGTTGTGTCATGCAACTGAGATGGGTGGCCATTTAAATGGTAAAAATAATTAAATAATGTTGGACAAGTAATCAAAGTACAACCCCATAAGGCAGAATTGCCTCTAATCAGCATCTGAAAACCAGATGCATGACAAGTAAAACAAGCGGCATCAGAGAGCTCAAAAGATCAGATTTGAAGAAATTTTGTTTTCTTTTTCAAGCCCCATAATAATATGGCTTAAGAGATATTTCTGTATTAAAAATATTTCCCTACTGATTTCTAATCATATATGAATATGCTCTGGCAACCTTTTGGATTGTGTCACATTTTCATTAGATTGTTGCCTTCTCAACTTCACCCAATTTGGGAAGGGCAGCCTGGCCTTCTGTACAGCCATGGATCATTTTCTTGGATTTTGGATACTTTTCTCTGCTGCTATTTTTTATGCCCTCCAGGGAGAAAGAACTGGGCAGAACTGGGGAAATCCCTTCAGTTCTGCAGGACATTTAACTGGGAGGTATGGGAAATGCCAGTTCTTCTGCTTTACTTTATTTCCAGCTGTTGATCTTGTTCTATGGTTTTCTTGTGAATGTGGGCTTATTGAGCTTTCAGAATTATGATCCATCTATTTACAATAATTCAACAAAAACAAATGGAGTGATAAACAGAAAACAAAAAAACAGTGAAATCAAGCTCCAAAAGTACACATTTGCATCTACATTTTGAACTCTATCATAGTAGAGTTCAGCCATTTTGTTTGTGTGTAAAGAAAAGGTAATATCAGTTAAGTACTATATACAAAAGACTATTTTATTTTCTAATTTTCATAAACCAATACTGAAAAATTATGTCATGAAAATTTGGGGGCTCCAGAGAGTTTTGAGAACTCATGATGTTCACAAGCTATACCACTGAATTATGTGTGTATGATTATTTGCATCTTTGATTTGGCTAAAGTTGTATCTAAATATCACCAGAATATATTTTAAAAGTGATATCTGTCTTAGGTTTTTAATATTCTACTGATTTATTTTAATTCAGTTATCTAGGTCTTCATGGTTTTGCCTTCTCCTAAGAAATAAAGATGCTACAAATAAATCTTATTTCCAATATTGACTTTTAATAATTCACCCCTCCCCACCTTTCAATGGGTACATGTTCTGTTTCATCAGTTCTAGAGTGTAGCAATATTACCTGAGGAAAAAGCCATGCCTAAGAAAATGTTAAAGCCTGTGATGGCTACAATGTCATCCATACTAGCAGCAGCTATTAGTAAAGTTGGAATTCCTTGATCTACACCAAGACCTTGTTTCTGTAACATCAGCATGGAAAGGACCACAACAGCTGGAGATACAGCACCTAGAACAAATCTGAAAATGTACACATTATTAGATCTCATCAAGTCAAGAAATAATGTTCAGCCATTGTTAAATCTGTAAAGGTTTGTTGGAGGCAGCAGAATATAGATGGTTAAATAATATATTGGTAGAAAAATCACTCTCTTTCCCACAACAGTTTAGAATGTTAGAAAACAAACACGGAATAAACAAAAATGAGGTGGGGATGGTTTCCTATCACAACTGTCCTGTTCACAATGGGGCTTTTCTAACTTGTATTGGCTGAAGATTAAAGGAGTTGTAGCCCAATATGACTGCAAGGGAAATGGATCTTAAGACTGTAGAACTAAAGTTTCCAGATGCATCAGTACAAGCAAGAGAACATCCTTTGCCTGTTTCTTCCCAACATTAAAGTGGCTTTGGATGTGTTAAAAAGGAAAGTACTGGACTCCAGTTTTCACCAACTGTATGAATGGAAGATAAGAAGATGTACTATGTTAAAAAAGAAAAGAAATACTTGGCACAAAAAGAAGCAGGGTCACCTCTTACCCTAACATAAGCCCCCATACCCATGGGAATTTCATTATAAAGTGAGATATGACTGCTGCAGAGCATGCTTCAATGATGCAGGGTCCCGTGCATAGTCTGAAACAGACAGCTTTTAACTTGCTCAGAGCCTGAAATACAAAAATGTTGTACAATTTATATTACACATCTTTAGTGCCATGAAAAAAATATTCCAAGATTTGCTAATAAATACATTGTCTGGATTTAGCTTTGCAATAAACCATGTTTTCTGGATTAAGTCCACAATTTCTAAAATAGCCCCCTTGCACTAGGCTATAAATCGTGCTTTAGAATGGGGTATCTAATGTATGTAACTCCATACTGGAGATATAATATATAAGTTTTTCAAATTAGAACAAGTTTTAAAAAGTATTTTTTAGTCACAAATTATTTCAGATTACTCAGAAATATTTCCCCTCCAAACATATAATGGACCAAATGTGGTAAGCATGTTATTGTTCTAATAAAGAGGGGGTGCCCATTTTTATTCTTAATTTGGATTAACAAAAATATTGAAAAGGATATTGCAGTGTAAAAAAACATAGCATGGAGTTTAAGGAAATTTCAGCCCCAAACCAAAACATTTTCTTGTGCCCTAAGTATGTAATGGAAGAAGCAAGAGCAAACTATTTCTCAAGATATGACCATAATGGAGCCTGCCCATTAGGTCCCATGTAATAGCTGTTAGGTGAAGCATCTCACCTAATGATCCCTACATCCCTGCTCTTCCCAGTGATTAAAGGAATATGTGGGTTGTTAAGTGAAGCAAGGAGTGACACAGGGATAGGGGAGACCCTTGGAAGCTAGGCAGAAGCTTAAGCCCACCTGTCCTGGCCCTCCCAACACCTAACCCACCCCTTCTCCCCTTTTCCCACTCTCCCCGAGTCCCCCCAGGCTTAGGCCTGTTTTCTATAACATGGCCAAACCCCTCCATGTTTGTGGAAGTCACCCAAAGTTGGGGTTGACTCTGAGGAAGCCTTCGTCTTTGTTCATGGGTAACAATAAAATCTTCCCCCATAGTGAATAAGGACAATTTCCAGGATTATTTCAAGAGGGAAGCAATCTATCTTTATTCTCCATGTTTTTCAAGGCCCTTTCAAAGGCTTCCAGACAAGCCAATTAAAAGTAGAAAAATGGCAGGCCACTATTAGTGAAAGCACTTTTCCTTTTTTAAAAAAATTGAGGTGGTTGGGAAGGGAAATTAATCAATTGATGGTAACACTTAAATAAGCCCTAAAGATTGTTTCTAAATGTGTGTGTTTAGGTATGTAAATAACAAGCAAACACACAATACACATATCCCTGGTTTAGTTATGTTTCAATTTTTATTTTAAGTTTTTATAAGCTTGATGGAAGCTTTTATTCCCCCCCCCCGCATAATATGATCTGAGCTATAATTTCTCAAAGAAATTCCTCCAGGGTAACACTGGGAACTATTCAAAGGATAATTTATGCTAGTCACATTAGGAAATGTTAAGCTTCCTCTTTCTTCATATTCTGTTCCATTTCTGTGCCCTCTACTATATTTCTCAAAGTAAAAATACTCCACCTTTGGGTCAAGGCCAAGACCAGCTAGACACAAAATAATCGAGAGGGCAGTGTTTCTGAATATAACTCCCCACTTTACTTCGATCACAATCACCTCACTGACGTATTTAATATTTCTGATGAGAAATCCAGCAAGCAACATACCTAAATGGAACGGTGAAAAACCACCTGATTAACTCTTCCAGAGACCAGCATAATATCTGACAATGATTCTTCATTTTCTTTGCTTACGGAAATAAACATCTTTTACAAAAATTTAACGGGGGGGGAGGGGGGATGGAGGGAAGGAGAAACAGATGGAGAATATTGCAGGCAAAATAAATGCAACAAACCAATAAAAAGAATCAGTGTTCAGTTTCATAACTTCAAGAATAAAATCACAGATCTGTTTCCTGGCCTTTGGGGATTCCATTCTAAAGCTGAACCCTCTCATATGTCAATGTGATACAATAAAGTAGTCAAGCAAAATTCATCTTAATGATACTTAACCTGATAAGCAACACCTAAGCTGATAAAGTTTTTCCCATCATGCAACTGTGTTAGAAAACCCAGCTCTTGTTAAGGTCTCCCCTTCTGCAGCTGGTCACAAGAGTTGGCCTTGGAGGCCTAAGACAGCAATTCCATAGACCAGCTTGTTTGGCAGTCTACTCATTACAACCCATAATGCAGAATCAATCCATAATTCACAACATCTATTGCCCCTCACAGACAGCCTTTTGAAAGACTGAGTACATGAGAGAGCCACAAAGGAAGCTTTCATAACAAAGGTTAATATTTCTTTATTATTTGAAAGTGATATTTAATAATTTGGAATACTAGTCTGGAAGAAACCAGGCCTACCTAATGAGAATGAAATTGGCACGCTATTTGTTAACATGAGGCTTACCAAGAAAAGGAGGGAGAGGAGGCAGTCCTGGTATTTTAATTAGCTCCATAATTTTGCCACCGATTACTGAACAAAAATAGAGGCATACTATTCCGAAGAGCTTCCCACCAGGCAGACTCTCTTTGCCTGCAAAATTCCAAATTAGGCCCCAGGCCACTGCTCCTATTGCCACTAAGAAAAGAAAGTAGGGTGGGGAAGAAGGAAAGAAATGTTAAGATATAAACCTTATCAGTATTCAGAAAGGAAAAAAATCATCTGTAGGATGTAGCAAAATTTGTTCTTGTACTTTTCCCTATTTGTAATACTATTTTTTAATGTTATATTCTGCCTTACCTTAACTTAATTATTTGTTATTGTTTATTTCCTCTGTCTGGGGGAGGAGTATTTATTTGAACAGAATAAATGGGAACAGGGGGGAAAGAAAGTAAAAAATAAATTTAAAAAAATAAAAAAATGTAAGGGCAACTCATGCATATCTCCATCTAAAGATAGTGCTTTATAGTACAGTTTCAGTAAAGGATTACCATATTTTCTTACAATATTTCAAGCAACGTGTGAAGGAGTCACAAGTAACATCAGAACTTTGTTTTACAGAATAAAATGAAATTTATAAATTTATCTTTTATCTTTTCAATTTTGAATGTATAAATTGATCAAATTTATGCACTACCTCACTATCTAAATGACTCTGAACGGTTTACAAGAATAATAATCTCTTAGCAATATGAAGTATCCAGGGAATTTATTTCTGTTGTCAGCACATGGCCCACTAATTGGCTACAGCCTAGAAGTTGGAATCATCTGTTTTAGGATAATTAGATTTCTTTTTTCTTTGCAATAGTTAATGCATCTAAATTTCTGTATAGTAATTTTGTAATTCAGAATATGAATAGGAACAACCCAAAATATTAAACTGTGCCTCAAAATCAAATTAAAGTGCATAGTGACTTTTTCCCAAAATATTAGAATTTTAGAAGATTGAAAAAACATGTATGAATTATTACATCTTGAACAAAATGATATACTGATTCCTTTTCTGTATGAGTATAAAGACATCCAGTGTGGCTAAAACATTTTTGTTGAATAAAGTGTAATCATCTTATTTAACAAACATCTACTGAATTTTTTGATAGATATTAAAAGACAATTTCCTTTGTTTAACCAAGCAGGAATCTCCTATTTCTTATTCCATTCCATCTCTAAAATGTATATATCAAATTGATTTATCATCAACATGTATTAAAACACTAATTGTAATATCATAAACATTATTTGTTCATAACATTATTCTGAAGCTTAACATATTACATGTCCCTGACTTACTTTTAAAATTATTACAAAAAGAAAGAAAATATTTGTCTACACTGTAGCAGGAATCTATGTACTCTTGGGAGGCAAAATTTTCACTTGAACCATACAATAATTTGACTTTAACAGTTAACCTTTTCCAGACTCAGATAATTCAGTCATGACTAGGTGTCAATAGAAATTGTGATAATGAAAAAATGAGAAAATGTAAGTCACAACCTCACACAGCACAAATTTAATCCTTTCATATTGCATTATGTTTTCTATGAGTCATAATCAAAATGCATCAGGAAGGCACTGGTCGCAAAATATCCTTTAGGGCAGAGTTTCCCCAACCTTTCTGTCTTTGCGGACCGGCGGGGGGGGGGAAGAGGGGATCGTTCCATGTGACCAGCCAGCAAGCACACTCATGCCTGTGTGCACAGCTCCATTTGTGCCAGTCGCATGCATGCGTGCCCACTGCATGCATTTGTCCACTGCTTCTGCATATGGGGGTGTGCACACGTGTGTGTGCAGTCACTCATTATTTCCATGGCCCGGTTGCAAACAGCTCATGGCCCACTAATTGGCTACAGCCCAGAAATTGGAATCATCTGTTTTAGGATAATTAGATTTCTTTTTTCTTTGCAATAGTTAATGCATCTAAATAAGATACATAAATTGTGTTAACCATTCCAACATATTAAATACCTTCTAGTCTGAAGACTCACATAATACAGGTTCACATATCATACTATGCTGATTTTGTTATTATGCTATGATGATATTATTAAGCCATGATGTTCAGCTCACAAGAGCACAGTTTATCCAAATCCAAAATTAGACAGAATTTTGAACCAGTGAGATATTGATTTTATCTCCTTCTCTCTCTCTTCTCCCCTTCCCGGCTTCAGTCCTGACAAACCTCATTGGTCTCTATCTTCTGTTTCTCCTGGAGTGAATTTGGGATTTCTCCACGGTTCTCTTATGTTTTTCCAGAGTATTTTTTCAGAAGGTTCCATCAGACAAAAGGAAACTTTAAACAAGTAATTATCCCTTCATTAGCCTATATAAAATCTCAAGTATTGTAGGATTAATCGGTGTCAGAGCAAAATAATTCAAATTATTTTTTAATTATTTGATTCAATTTATTTCATAAAAACAAACAAGGAAATCATGTTTCTTACTGGAAAACAAGATGAAAAATTTAAAACTATAAAGTCTATTTTTGATGAACTTTTAGTGCATGTAAAAAGAAACCTCTAAAATTAATGCAACTAATGGAACCTAAAGTGGGGGTCTCTTTGAACTATTTTTGCCTTTGACTTGTGTTTTACATACCGTTTGTTATTACTTTGGCAATTATACCTTGAGGAGGACAAGTACATAATTTCTGCAGTTTTTCTTGAAACTTGGTCTCAGGCTGTACTTGCTCTCCAGTGGAATCCAAAACACCAGCTTCCTGAAATGAAATGAGGAAACATTCTCAACAGAATACAATTCCATAGAAAAACTGCTGTAGCATTCTTAGTTGTTGGTTGCAAAATGTCAGAAACATCTTTTACAGAGTCATTGCTGGCAGGTTTTTCTTTTGGTTTTTATATGTTTATTCAATGGAATTATAGGCCACCAGTTCAAACAATGTGATTCTAGATGGCTTACAGCAAAAAAGCAAATAATAACATCTATTTAACATTTACATGATTTTGTTGGAGAATTAATTTATTAGTTTAAACTATCACCCAAATGATGGCAATAGTTAGCTGAACTTTTTGCCCCATGATCAATGGGGAATGCAATAGGAATTCTGATTTGGAGCCTACAGATTGTTAAATCTGGATGGGGAAGATTAGCAAACAAGATGCAATGGCTGTCAGTTTAGAAGTCTACTGATTCCATAGTAGAACTTACTAGGAAGTGCAGTTGGAGGAAGCCCCATAGAGGTGTTTTCTATGGGAGTTTCCCTTCTGTGAAATAGTTAACTTTAAGACAAGGATGGATCCCACTTTATGGTCTTCTGAAATCTTGCCAAAATCTAGCTTTTGGAGATTAGTTGTAGAGCCATTGGTGCTTGCACTAGTCAATTTAAAGAACAGATACTGAAAAAATCTGTTTAATACAGCTGTTAAGCTACAGATACAGTTCTACAGAGAAATTATTGAGTTAGTCAATTACATTTCTACAACTGTCTGGTTTGGTACAGCAACCAAACAAGACAGGTACAAACTTAACAAATAGTCAGGACTGCAGAAAAAACAGTTGCAGCCAGCCTGACTTGCAGAAAAAACAGTTGCAGCCAGCCTGACTTCCATTGAGGGCCTGTATGCTGCATGAGCCATAAAGAGGGCTGAGAAAATATCTACAGACCTCTCACATCCTGGATATAAACTGGTACAACTTTTCCCCTCAAAACGTCATTACAGGGCATTGCATGCTGAAACAACTAGACATAAAGATAGTTCTCCCCCTCCCCATGCTATCATTCTGCTAAACACCTAATTCCCACAGCACTATCTTATGCCTAAAGATTTACCCACGTAGTACGGCTCTATTGCTATTGTCCTTCTCATCTTCTCATCTTTCTTATCTTTCTCATCATTTCATCTTTCCTGCTACCATTTCCTATTGGAATCGTATATTTATCACTTGTTATTTGTATCTTATAATTTTTTAATTGCCTCTTATGATTTATGATCTGTGACTTAGCACTTTATTGTTTGTATGTACATTGAGAGCTTATGCATTGGAGAAAAATACCTTGTGTTTCCAATCACACTTGGCCAATAAAAAATATTCCTATATTCCTATTCCTAAAGAACCTGTAATTTATTCTGGTTTTCATTGTAGTTTAATATTTATTATTGTTCTCTCTTTAAAAAAATAACTTTTCTAGAGTCCCCCTAGATTGAGATAAATCTCATAACTACAAGAAGTAAGGACTTGGCTGTTTCTTGGAACTGTTAAACTGTTCCTCATCTCAGTGTGATTATTTGTAAATAAAAATCATAAGCCTTTTGGTCCAAAGAAAAACGAACATTGAGCTCTTTTAATATTGAGACAAGCACTATTATTGACATAAAAAACCTTCATTTATTGTCCCTAAAGATTGGTCCTCTTTAAGCTGTCTTCTATTTAAATCACATAAATTCCCAAAGGTAATGTTTGGTCTCCTTAACGATGTTTTGCTTATTTGACTTAACAGAAATTATACATCTAGATGCAAGATCATTTCATTTCTCTAACTTTACTTGCCATAACTATATCATGAAGAAAGAAAACATGACAATACTTACATTAAAGTTGACCATTCGATCCTATATAGAAGAAAGGCATAACTTATTTCTTTATTAATTCCTAAACTATCAATATAACTATAAAACTGTCATTACTATTACCTGCATTGGATAAGATTCATTTCTTGACTTCGAAGATATGTTTTTCTTGTCTGCCACAAATATTCTCTCTGACATAGTTCACTATCTAATTTTGTAAAATAAAATGTATTTTACTTTAAAATATATTTTTATTTTAATGACTTTTGAGTGTTATCCAAGTCATCTTTTTTAAAAAAAAATAGGAACTTTTTTATTTTTAAATTTTAAACCATCTTCTTAGATTCTACTTCCCAAATGGAATTGGAATGAGTTTAGAAAAAAACATGAGCTGGAAAAATATCACCATCAATGATATTCTCTAATCGTTAGTCAAGAGTATGTGCCAGAATTCATGAAATGCTATGAATGAGTTGCACAATACTCCAAACAGCAAAAAAAAACAAAACAAAAAAACCCTTGGTTTTTCTTAACTTTTCAGCACAAAATCTTAGTATGAACCACCAAAACTAATTCATTCTTTTAATAAATGGGGAACTTCTATTTTTATGCAAATTCAAGATATTAGAGCAGACAAGGCAAGACTTTCTGAACAACATGGGTACAGATATTCATCTGCACAAGGTAATTAACTGCTTTAGTTCAAATTCTTTGCCATTTTTTAAAATAAAAAAGGTTATATATCAACACCCCTGCCACAACTAACATTCTAAATATATTTTCTTGAGAATAACCTCAAAAAAATAAAGGCAAATTTATTCTTAACTATGAACTACTATAGGACTGGATTGTTTAGCTGAACCTCTATGCTCACTATCTTGGAGCAGAAGTCCCAATGAAATCAGAAAATCATATTTACATGTTTCATCTTACTCCCAGTACAATTAACATGCTTATTATCATTGGAACAGGGATGATACTTATACGTATTGGAATGAAGTCCTCCTGACTTCACACTCAGTTTGGTATGCACATTTTTGGGATAAACATCCACTCCTAAAATTACTTCTGCCCTAAATTCCTGATTTAAGACAGACTCCTATAAATCTGAGCTCTGGCTGGGGGACTACGGTAAAAGCAAGCAGTTTGTGTTTGCAAAGGTGCTTTTCCAAAAGGCAACTGAACTTTGTTTTTTTCTTTGAAAATGGTTTGTTTCTCATCCAAGAAACTTCATTTAAAAAAACCCAAGAAAGTTCAATTGACTTTTGGAAAAGCACTCTTGGGACAGCCATGACCTGGATGATTAAGAATCTCCATGGCAACATATCTGTGTTTTTGGGGGGAAGCAAATCTGAAGTGGGGAAGGATTTATACTTCTCAGAAAAGCAAGCTGGTTATACTCTCATCAGGCGTTCAAAAGAATATAGGGTTGTTACCCAATTTCATCTTCAGAAATAGCATGTGGTGGGCGGGACTTACGCATCTCGCTAAACAGCATCGTGGCTCGTTTGGCATGGGCGTTACACGAAATTGGCCATTACAGTTTCCTAAACCATGGCACATGACTTAAGGAGCTGTAGACGAACCCTTGAAATTGGCTTCTAAATCCCCCTTGAGAGCATTACACGGCCCCGGTCTGCCTCTGAGGGTCGGTGGTATAAGGCGAGGATAGCGTCACTGACCCGCTAAACGTCCCAAGCCACTGTGGGGCAGAAAACCGTGCTTAAAATGTTGAAGCCTCTCACTAAGGGTGGTCTGGAGCCGGGGAAAGGTGGGAGGTGCAAGGATGGCTGAGGAATACTAGCTCCACCCCCTGGTCCGTCGCTCTTCAAACTGTAAAAGCTGCCTCGGAGCCGCCCTGAGAGAAATAACGGTCCTGAAATAACGGTCGTGCCAGCCTGCCGCCAAAGGGCATCTGGCTCAACGGCGGTAAGCGGGGGGGGGGGGGTTCTGTCATTGCCCTACAGCAAGAATTGCCCCGGCTTGCTTTCCTCTGCATTTCCGCCCAAGGAAATCCTTGCTCAGCCCCCAGCCTTTGGGGACCCATGAGGCTGAAATAGTAGCAGCCATCGCCTTTTTCCGTTTTTTTCTACTTTTGCAAAAAGAATACAAGGACAAGGGAGAGAGAAATGTAAGTGGATATTGCAATCCTACAATTTGTACTTGAGGGTTCATTAGTGATTCGCAGATCCAGCGGACAAAGTATCAAACGGGTGAGGTTAGCCCTGGGTCCTCTCCCCTTCCTCCTTTCTTCATGAATGATTTGGAGAATGAGAGGGAAGCGTTTTAGATTTCTAGATGATATAAAATGGAGTGGTGGCATGGTGCATACTGACAGTGTTTCTCAACCTCAAGGACTTTTAAGATGCGTGGACTTCAGCTGCCACCCTTCTGAAGTCCACCCATCTTAAAGTCTCACTAAAAAAAAGTTCAGAAACCTCTCTAGAAAACAAAATCCAAAATTATCTTGGCAGGCTGGTGAAATGGGCTGGAAGTTATAACATAAAATTTAAGAGAGAAATACAAGGTATTTATTTTGGAAATACAGTACATAGTTTGGTGCTTAGTAATTACTTGTGAAAAAGGTCTTGGTGCGAAAGAGCTGCACACTTTTAATATGGGCCAGTGTGCTCATAGTAAAAAATGACAAGGTTATCTATCAGTGCTAGTATATCTTTCAAATAATAGGAAGTATTGTTTTATTTCACTGCTTTGGTCAGTTTTCATCTCTAGTATTGTAGTATTCTGTGCAGTTCTGTGCTGTGTATTAATTTTGAGAAATCAGAACCGGTTCAGAGAAGGGGAGTAGAGAATGCATTCCATGAAGAAGTTTAAACTTGAGAAAAGATGAGCTATATAATCGAAATATATGAAAGGATGAACCCCTTTGGAGATTTTTAATCATCCAGCTCATTGTTGTCTCAAAGATGCTTTTTCAAAAGATAGCTGGACTGTGTTTTTCTTTGAGGAAGAACAAAATGTTTGCTTTCTCATCCAAGAAACTTCATCAGTTGAGACTGGGTGGTGGGGGGATGGATGGAAGGATAGATTCTGACCAAATAGTGGGGAGGGGAACGGAAGGACTGTATTTCTTTGCAGTCATTTAGTTGTTAGCACTCTCTTTAGCATGTTGTGTGAACCCATCCATTGTAATTTGTAGGCAGTTTATAGTTTTTGTGGCCATTAAACCATAATTATTTAAGCAAACCATAGTGAAGTATTTTTCAAGCTCAGCAATGGATGATTTGGAAAATACAATTATGTTTGCTATGAAGAAAAATAATATAAATAGTATTTTATATAATAGAATTATAAATAGTATTTTAGAATCTGATTATATGACTACATTTGACCTTAGTCTTTTGAGATATTTTAATAATTTTCTTCAAAGTTAGGTCTCATAACTCAATTATTTTTTAATTTTGGAACAGTTGCTTTTTTGTTATACCTTGGTCAGGCTTATTGTATTTTTGCTTGTTCTGGCAGTGGATCATTTCGTATTCTTCACATGTCATAATATTCAACTACCAAGGCACCTTGGATCCATGAGGCAGCATTTTTTAAAGTTTATTTTTTAATACAAGCAAATATTAAAAACAAAAGGGAATAATTCGAGAGAGAGTCCTTCTAAGACTGTATGTATGCAAGTAGGAAAATTTACAAAGATTTTGAAAGAATCAATTCATTAAATCTTCATTGCTGTAGAGTTCCGCAACCTTTCTGGCTTTGTGGACAGGCGGCAAGGGGAGAGGGGATGGCTCTGCAAGAGCGGCGGGCAAATGCACACACATGTGCTCACCTGCTGCTTGCGCAAGTGAGGGTGCGCACAAGAGCCAATTCTCTGGCCCAGTTCCGAAAGGCTCAAGGTCCGATAGTGGGCCTGACCCAGGGATTGGAGACCCCTGCTGTGCTGTATATATTTGCCTAATAGTAAAGCAACTCAGTTGCATTGTGTGAACATAAGAGTAGCATGGTAAGGCTCATTTAACTGGCTGAAAGCCATAATTACATATTTGTTCATTAAGCTACTTTGTTTTATATGTTAGGAAAAATTATCAATTCTAGGATAGTATAGAATCATTCGAAAAATGTATGGAACCATTCAGTGTGTTTATTCTTGTCTTTTCTAGAAGGATAAAGGCATATTTGGATGTTTATTCAATAAAATTCGTAATTTTTTCTATTTATTTTAATTTTTTTGTAGCCCCACTTCAGTATGTATATACTGGACAATGTAAAATAGAGCAGGACATAAAAAGGAACATATAAAATATTAGTACAACCCCCCCCCCAGTTGTCAGAAGCAGCTGGATCCATAAGTAAACCAGACACAAAACAGAATAATTCATCAGATTGTCCTCTGAAGTCCACTGGAATTCATCCAAGTCCTGGAGAATACCAATTGAAAGGATTCAATATTCATATGGAAGCCTTGGTTGTCTATGAATCTGAAGAGGAAGTGAACTAATCATAGCAGATGATAGGTATCAATGTCCTCCATTTCCAGTTTTGTCATATTTGCTCCAAGTATAAATCAGGTATAATGGGTGTTTGCTTTTGTCTGTTGGCATGGATTATTCAGGGCAGGCCCAAGGTTATAAACTCATGGAACACATGAACTCTCTTCCAAGGCAGGAAGATCAAAGTCTCCTCAAACACTCAATCTTGGGATGGCCCAACATTATCTTTAAGATGACATTCAGAAATTCATGGAGGACTCTCTGTAACTCAATACCCTTTAAGACATTCTTATCCAGTGACATCTGGAACAGTGCTCCTCATCACTACGAAGGTGTCTTGTACATTGCAGCAACCCCTTCTCCTTTGCCCAATTGCTATAGCTGTTGCATAGTCTGAAAACTGCCAGAGCAAATTTGCAACAGGGCTACATTCCCATTATTTCCCATCCATGTTTCAATAACTTACATCAAGTCAGCACATTCATCTACCAATACATTGTAAAATGAATGCGATCTTATTTTGCACCAACTCACCATTTTTGAGCAATAACTGGAGGCCAATATGCCCAACAGTTCAGCTGCCTGGACTCTGGTCTGGAATATCTGGTTTAGAAGAAGAGACCCATAAAAATATACGGGTCTCCCTTTTCCTGTAATAGTCAAGCTGGTGCTTCCTGCCACATCTATCTCTGCCTGTTATAATCCACAGTGCCCCCCCCCCTCAACCTTCCTTTGCTCTATCTTGCTATTCCCTCACTCAACATACAGTACATACCATTAACACATTTAACATTCCAATTCTCTATAACACTATTTATATAAAATCTACTTTTAACTACACTAATTCACTCTTCCCAACCAAGTTCCAAGTCCTCAGAGAAGACTTCAGGCTACCAGTCTTTCAGAGAAACGTCAGGCAGTATCTCAGTCCTAACTATTTTTCCACCACAAGAGAAAGGGGTGGAAGTCTTTATCAGTAATCCCTAGTTCTCACCCAGGCAGTACATCTAAAATATTTCTGTTAACCCAGGGATGTTTAAGCTCAACAGCTTCATTTATTCTTCAGTACTTTAAATATGCTCTAATTCAGCAGCCACTAATCTTCTTTTCACCTAATAAACTGTTAACCACAAAAAGAAAAGCTACAAGCCACTAATAGCTAATATTTGCTCTAAACAGCTCCAACTGATGTCATCTTAAAAATATGTACATATATTTGCAAGATCTGCAATGTATCTCAAAGGCCTTTAAACTTCTGTAACTTACTTGTGAATACCATGGTTCATAAGTAGTCTCAGTTCAGGTAATCTGTGGATTGCACCTCATATCTCCCTATGCTGGCCCTTGTATTTCTATTTCTTCTCTTTCTTCATATATATGACTTTCTCTGTTGGTATCAGAAGTCTTGTGGAGAAGTTTGGGCCCTGCCAGCCCAATTATTAGAGCTCCAATTGGAGCTGTGATTAAGATTGCCAGGAAAGCAACTGTCAAAACATCCATGCCATATTTCTCTAATTGTTTATCTGCCTGCTCCCGTGCTGTATCTAAGGCAACTGAGCCAATTGCAGCCTGTCAAGAGAAAAGAAATAATAGATAACACAGCAAAAGTGCATTTAAAAAATACAGCACAAAAGCTTGTTTCTTCAAACTCTGCATACCATACAGCAGCCAATCAGTGAATAAGAAACCCTTCCCACTTTTGTTCCCCAGTAGCTGGTATTTAAAGTATGCTATCTAGTTTTCAGGTGATAGCACCTAGATATTAAGACTAACAGCCATTAAGAGAACAATTCTCATTGAATTTGTATTGCCTTTTTCAAAAGCATCTAAATTGGTATCCATCTATTCAAACAAATTTCAAAACTTTAAGTGATTTTTTACACTGAAATTCAATGTAGAGAAAAGTAAGGTTTTACACTTAGGCAAGAAAAATCAAATGACTGGGAAACCATCAAGGTCCCATCCAACTTTGTTGTACTGTTATTCTTTACTGTTGCTTTGGAAGAGGACTGCAAGAGTAAATACAATAGTTACTGTTTTAAAGGGGATTAGCTCTTCCTTCATATATTTTCAAAATTTGATTTACTGTAATCAGTAAGTGTTTGAGGGTTATACCTGGTGAGAAATATAATAGCAAATCTTGCAACAAACTAGGATTGTATTTATAGTAGAGTAATGGTTTAGAATTTGCAGTTTCTTTTAAGAGCCTTACTAACAGCCTTACTAACTGCTGTTTATATTTTTGAAGCTCATGTAAATTGGACTTTCCTGCCTGAGGTTAAGATAGAGAATTGGTAATTTTGGGATGCCAAGAAATAGTAGAGGATAAGATGAAGGTCAGTTTCCCTCTTGTCACCCTACTCTCTTTCTCTCACTTATTCACACAAGCAACATTTGTTGGCAATGACTTAATGTTCATACTGACAACCCTGAAAACATCTTAGAGTTACAAACAGCCTATACCTGAGCTTAGGTCAATGATGATGATGAGGTTCACAGTTCAAAGTCAGTCTTGAACTTGGCTACAGTTACAATATCAGAAAAATAGTCTCTTATTGCTTATGGAAAAGCTTAAATCTAATTAGGAAGATCTAGCCTTGTGATTCATCTCAACAGTGCTATGGTTTCATATACTTTTCTAGTATAGGTGGATCATCTCACTAAATTTAGGAAAATGTTTATGATGTTGTAGTATAATTGTTGCATTAGTGCTATGAAAAATTGTGTTCCTAAAGGGAAATTTGAAAATAGGATTGCAAATTCTGACTATGAATTATTTGACTTGCATTGAAATAAAGATAAAATGCTTGCTGCAACATCCCCATTTCCTAGCTAAGGATAGAAGAATTTTTACTGGAGAACAAAGTTTATGCTATTCAGTAAAGAAATGTGAACAACGAATGTAATAAAAAGGAGAGGGAAAAGGCCTGCACATAAACTGTTTAAACTCCTTCCCTTCGGATGGTGCTATAGGACATTGTATGCCAAAACATGTATGCCAAAACAACTAGACAGGGACAGTTTTTTTCTCATGTCATCACTCTGCTGAACACTTAATTCTCACAGCCCAATATCTATCTATACTGATTCATGTAGTGTGGCTGTACTATTATTATTTAACATTCTTATTATCTTCTTTACTCCCCCCTTTTATTGGGATGATGATAATGATTCTGTTGCTTTGCATGTATACTGAGTACTTCTATACCGGGGATAAATTCCTTGTGTGTCTAATCACACTTGGCCAAATATAGTATTCAACTTAATTCAACCCAACTCAATTCCATTCAATTCAACTTTCTTGGAAGGATGTGTTCAATTAATTTTATTTCCAGAAGACAGAATTCTGCCATAAAAATGCAATATACCTGCACAGTAGCTTTGGGGATCCAAGCCAATGCAATAAATATTCTCTCTTTCAGCTCAAAACCAGCAAAAAAGACCAATATAAATGTGGCTGTAACTCGGGCGATTAGTCCCACAACCAGTACGGCAATGCAAAGTCCTGCAACAAAGAAATAGATTTAATTATTTCTGGTATTAAAAAAAAGAATCATGTCAATAACTGAATTGTATAATTTTCCTTCCAAAAAAGACAATGCCCACTTGTTAGTAGAAGACTTACCAACTGTTTGAGGATCAAGAGATGCAACAGATATTTCGGCGCCAATTAAACCGAAAAGAAAAGGTTGGAAAATCTCCCATGCAGCCTTAATAATTTTTTCTACCTCTTTCTGAAAAAAAAAAGCAATGCATTTTTGTTGCACAGTAATGTACATTCATGCAGAAGATATATATAACACAAACTCAGTAATTTTCACATTATTAAATAAGATTTTCAAAAAAATAATCCAATTAAATGATTCATTCATGTTCTTGCTCTCATCTTAGGAAGAGTGATTCTATCATAAAGATGAAATCACATCTTTCAAATATTAAGGTATTAAGGACTCTTAATAGTTTAATAGGGGCTTTGAAATTATAAATATTCCTTCTTTGAGGAGGAATACCCTCACCACAAACATAATTTAAGGCGATACCATTTTTTTTAGTTATTTCTATAACATATTACAGAAGTAATTAAAAAGATGGTAGTTCTTTTCCAGGGTTCTCCTTTTTTCATTAAAACACTCTGTTTTCTTCTAATTCCATTCACTTTTATTCATAATAGATAAGTATACTAGCTTCATAATTTTTTTCAGAACATTTGCTTCAGTTGAATGGGAAAAAAAAATAACATGATTGAGCCACTAAGCTAAAAATCACTGTATATTGTGATGCAATATTAGCACCATTTCCTCTTTTTTTCAGAAACTGAACATCACTGTTTATGAACTCGGGAGCATACATGTAGAGCAGTGGTTCTCAACCTGTGGGTCGGGACCCCATTTGGGGTCGAATGACCATTTCACGGGGGTCGCCAAACCACGCTGTCCGCCATTTTTTTCCCTTTTCCCTAGCTGTCCTACTCCCTCTTATTGGTGGCCACACCCACTTGGGGGTCACCACAACATGGGGAACTGTATAATGGGGTCACAGCATTAGAAAGGTTGAGAACCACTGATGTAGAGGAAGAAGATGGCAGGCTCAAAGAAACCTTCAAATCTATAGAAATATTTTTTAAAATACCCATAAATCATGGGATGGGGAATTGCAAAATAGCCTACAAAGAAATGGCTAAAAACTGGAACCAAAGAAATTCATCTTGAAACATTTTTTAACACTTTCAGCTTGCCCAAAATAAACTCACATATTCGGGAATCAGGGAAACTTTCAGATTACATGATAATTAAATACTCACTTTCTCATCAGACCATGATAATCCAGCCAGGAATGCCAAGACAATTGTGCACAGTCCTCCAGATCCAGGGAAACCAAAATACATACTGCCAAAAATTGCAAGCATTGATAAGCCTATAATAAAGAATGCTCTCTTCCATACAAGATATGTCTAGGGAGAGAAATTGGAGAAAGCAAGAGACATGATTCATAAATGTCAATCCAAACGACAGGAAACTGAAGAGAATACAATTTTTTGGATTTGTGTGGCTATGTAAATCCTTGGCCAATCTTGTAAACCTTGGCTAATACATAAAGCTAAGTAGGGTTACCTCTGGATAGGGAAGTGCCTGGAAATTCCAGGTTAGTTAGATTAGGAAGTTGAAAAAAAAACCACTTGAATTAAAACAATAGCTTTCAGAAGAAAGAGAAAGAAACTATAGATCCCCAATTCAATTCAAGCAATCTTTATTTTTTCTTTAAAATTAATATACTAGAAATCTAAGTTGTATTTGCTTCAAAAGGAATTTTGAAAAAATTAATTTAAAACTCAATTTACGACCACAAATTGCCCCATAAGCAATTAATGAGCCATGCCGCATTTTACAACCTTTTTGCTATGGTTGTTAAGTGAATCACTACATTTGTTAAGTGAGTCATGAAATTGTTAAGCGAATCTGGCTTCCCCCATTGACTTTGCTTCTCAGAAGCTCCCTAAGAAGGGCAAATGATAATCCCAGGATCCCGGATGCTGCAACCATCATAAATACATGCCAGTTGCCAAGCATCCAAAGTTTGATCATGTGATTGTGGGGATGCTGCAACAGTCATAAGTGTGAAAACTGATCATAAGTCACTTTTTTCAGAACCGTTGTAACTTTGGACAATCATTAAACATATGGTTGTTTAAGTCAAAGACCACCTATATAATACCTCTCTTCATTAAAGCAGTCCATTTTTTCTCCAGCAGGATGTCTGTAGAATCCACCGGATGGGTTATTAACAGCCTTCCTGCTCAGCAGACTAGGTCAGAACTTTGGCCACGCCCCTCCTTTGGGAGTGACTCCAGTTTTGACTTAGTCTTGAGCTCACAGCACATGATTATTTTTGCTCCGGATAGATTAGGTTTCTTTAACAGTGATTTTATTGACACAGTTTCAATTAGTTAGCATAAATTTGTTCTTTAATTGGCGGCATTTAAATTGAATACTCAAATTGATAAATTTAAATTTTTGGAGGCTGTAGGCATTCAGGCCAGCTGGCTGCGTGCCCGGTTTTTCTGGCCGATCAGTCGGCTCGCCTTTGGAGCCTCGATCGGCTCCTTGCAGGATCAGAGCTTCAATCAGCCGGCTTTCCTTTGGAGCGTTCGATGGGCTCCTTGCAGGCTTAGAGCTTCAATTAGCCGGTTTTTTTCCTTGGAGCGTTGGATCAGCTCCGTTACAGGCTCAGCTTTGGCTCGTCAGCTACCTTTCTTCAGGACATCTGATTCAGATTTGGATCTAAGGCGACCAGGAAACGCAAGTTGCTCGGGGTTTTCCCTGTTTACTGAGAATCTCTTTGTTCCTTTCCTGGTTTCTTATTATTGCTCCAACGTTTGTTTACTAACAGAGAGTGCGGCAGCCATCTTGGCCGCATGTCTTCACTGGGGGCGGCCATTTTGAGGGTGTGTTTTGTCTCTTTCAGGACGCCATCTTGAGTGTGTCCTTAGGCCCTCACCATATTGGGTGGACAATTTGCACGGAGATTTTTCCTGGTATTATTAAGAGTTGATTAGCCCTCAGAGGGGGCTTATACTACTTTTTGGGAGTCTGATTTCAGCCCCATATTGTGGGGGGGGGAAGAAAAAAAAAGACAATCGCAGCTCCTAGAGGAGAAGCAATATCTGAGTACTGATACTCTACCTCACTAATACCTGGTGAAGGAGCGAGAAGAGTGAACTTTATTCCAACTGTTCTGTTAGTGTGGCATTGTCACAGGCTTATCAAGGGGTTTTAGCAAATCACTTGATTGTCCGGCCATTGCAGTTGTACAGAGCGAGGATTGATTCTTTCCATCTCTGTCAATTGATCTGCGTACCTGGGTGCTCCCCCCCCTACAGGTATTTCCTACTTGGTATATCTGTGCGCAATGGCAGACAGTGTCTCGCCTTCAGCTTCGCAGGGCTCCTGTCAGACCCAGCGTAATACTTACCTTCCAAAGTCCGGAATGTTCCAGTTAACCATGTGTTCCAGCCGAGTCCGGTAGCTTCGTGAGCTACATCGCCAACAGCGGCAGCCGAACGGGTCACGTGAACATCCTATGTTGCCAGCACACAACCGGACGGAGGCTACATAGAAATGGAATATGGAGAAGCCGAATGCTGTTAAAACTGTTATGGCTTATGTTGCTGGAACCGTGACTCTGTGAATGATGGGAACTGGGACGCTGGGTCTGACAACACTTGGATACCGGGAGGGGGTATTATAGGAAGAGGTTGAGTGGGACATTAGGAATGAGAATGGCGTGAACGGAACGCATGGACTCAATGTAAGGTTCGAACATAAGTACTAGCTGGATCGGGGCGTAGGTAGGGTGGAGGACTATCACGAGGCAGGTATGGGGAGGGGGACAGGTGGATTCCAAATGACCAATTAACCGTCAATTGGGGAGTCAGGGTCATTTCAGGCATTGCTTGATACCGGGTGCACTAGGTGTCTGATTAGTAAGGAGGTGGTCCGGCAGATGAGTATTAGGGTGACCCGGTTAAAGTCTCCGATTCGTTTCGAACAAGTAGATGGCTCCCTCTTGGGGGGAGCTCCGACCAATTGGGTGACGGAGCCTGTGAGGATGGAGATAGGTATTCACTGGGAAGTAATACGGTTTATAGTAGTGCCTTCTATGTCCGAATCCATCATCCTTGGTCTAGCGTGGTTGGATAAATGGACCCCGAACATGTGGTGGGCGGATGGGTCCCGGCATTTAAGGCTTGCAGTAGGTCCCCAGCCACCCCATCTGGGTGAGCATAGTGAGGATAGGGCGGTTGAAGACTCGAAATCAGGGCTAGCTGGGAGTGATCCTGGATATCCGGCGGTGTATAGTGATCTGGCAGCAGTTTTTAGCAAGCAAGAATGTACCCCATCGGTCAACGGATTGCGCAATAGAAATTGTTCCTGGTGCGAGGTTGCCGAAACCCAGGATGTATCTGATGACATCTTCGGAGCTACAGGAAATGAGGAAATACATACATGAAAATTTGGCCAGAGGTTTTATAGAACCAGCACGTTCCCGGATAGCGGCCCCGGTATTATTCCAAGGGAAAAAGGATGGAGGATTAAGGTTATGTGTGGATTTTAGGGGTCTTAACGCTGTATGTATAGAACAGACATATCCCCTGCCATTGATGAAAGACCTCCTTGCCCATCTAGTTGCTGGGAAAATCTTCACGAAATTAGACCTTCATGAAGCGTACTATAGGGTGAGGATTAAGAAAGGGGACGAGTGGAAGACAGTGTTTAATTGCCCGCTGGGCAGCTATCAATTTAAAGTGATGCCTTTCGGGTTGCAAGCTGTATTCATGCAGCTTATTAACGAAGTTTTGCACGAACATCTGTACCGGGGTGTGCTGGTATATCTGGACGATATACTCATCTATTCCCAAACATTGGAGGAGCATGTGAAGTTGGTGCGCACTGTGCTGAAAAAATTGTTAGACGCTCGGCTATATTGTAAGCTATCAAAGTGAGAATTTCACAAGGAGCGCATTGAATACCTAGGATTCCGAGTTTCAGCAGCCGGTATAGAGATGGATCCCAGTAAAGTACGAACTGTATTAGAGTGGCAAGCCCCAAAGACCCGCCGTCAATTACAACAGTTCTTGGGGTTTGCTAATTTCTACCGGCAATTTATTCGCTCTTTTGCTGATGTGGCACTCCCATTGACCCAGCTATTGCGTACCAAGCATATTGCAGGGAAACCCCGCCCGGGACAATCCTTGAACTGGACTGTTGCTTGTCAAAGAACATTCGAGTCCTTAAAGACATTATTCGCTCAAGAACCTGTATTAGTACATCCTGATCCGGGGCGGCCGTTTGTTGTACAGGCCGATGCGAGCGACATAGCAGTCGGAGCGGTATTATTGCAGCGTAATGACCAAGGTACTCTACAACCTTGCGCTTATACCTCCAAGAAGTTCACTGATACAGAAAGACACTGGGCGGTATGGGAAAAGGAAGCGTTTGCCGTAAAATGGGCCCTGTCCACGTGGCGCCATTTGTTGGAGGGCGCACAGCATCCCTTTGAGGTGTGGACAGACCACAAGAATTTAATGGTCCTCCAGACACCGAGGAGATTAGCTCCCAAACATGTTCGTTGGGCGCAATATTTCCAACGATTTAGGTTTCATTTTAAAGTTGTTCCAGGAAGGAAGAACTTCTTAGCGGACGCACTCTCACGTCTGCCACAACACGACAGCAAAAAGGAAGAGGTGATCCAAGCTATCATGCCTTCTGGCAGTGTTGAGGTCATACGAGCAGATGCCTGCGAAAAAACGACAGCATTCGAGGATGAAGTAAAGTCTGCTTTGTTAAATGACTCTTGGTCACTAGCTAATCCTGGATTGTTGACCTACCGAGATGGTTTAGCCTGGCACGGTGATAGACTATACATTCCACAGCGGTTATGGGACCGAGTGTACCACCGGTGCCATGATTCCAAATTAGCAGGCCATTTTGGGTTTTTGAAAACATTACATTTGGCGAGACGGCAGTTCTGGTGGCCGAGTTTACGGAAGGACATTGAAAGCTATGTGAAAGGGTGTCATATTTGTGCACAGGCGAAGGTAATTCCTAAAAGACCAATGGGATTACTCCAGTCAGTGTCTAATCCAACTCGGCCATGGCAGGACATTGGGATGGACTTTATAGTAGATTTACCAAATGTAAAAGGATATACAGTTATATGGACGGTGGTCGATTTATTTTCAAAGCAGGCCCATTTCATACCGTGTAAGGGACTACCATCGGCGAGGAAATTGGCTAAAATGTTCGTACACCAAGTGTTCCGACTGCATGGGGCGCCTCGCCGGATTATTTCGGACCGAGGTGTCCAATTTACAGCTCATTTCTGGCGGCAATTTCTGAAGTTTATTGGTACCACACAAGGGCTGAGTTCTGCATATCACCCTTGTACTAATGGGGCGGCGGAGCGGGCCAATGCGGCTATAGAGAGATATCTCCGATGTTACGTGTCTTACCAACAGTCCAATTGGGTAGATTTGGTACCATTTGTGGAGATTGCGTAATAACAATGCGGTACATAAAAGTACTGGCCTAACCCCATTCCAAGTGGTATATGGACATGATATTACTCCACTACCGGAAAGTAGAAACCGGGAAACCCAGGTCGGTCAACCAAATGAGTGGTTGTCGCGAGTAGGTAAGGTTTGGAGTACAGTACGACACGCTCTGCAGCGGGCAGCTCAGACATCAAAGTATCAGGCAGATAAAGGTCGCAGAATGCCATTTCAATTACGGGTAGGCGACCTGGTATATTTGTCAACCAAGTGGAGGTGCCATGCAGAAAATTAGCACCAAAATACATCGGACCATTTCGTATACTCCAGATCCTCAATCCTGTGACGGTGAAGCTCCACTTACCGAAACTACTTGGTAAGATACACCCGGTTTTTCATGTAAGTTTGTTGAAACCCATGGGAGGACCGTCCCATGAGACACCCCCAGGACCTGTTACGCCAGGACGATATGAAATACAGGACATAATTGATTCGCGAGTAAGGGGGGGTAGACTCTATTATCTGATATTGTGGAAGGGATACCCTCTGTCCGAAGCCTCTTGGGTAGAAAAACACGATATATCCGCCCCTGATCTAATCCGTCGGTATCACAGAGCACTACCACACAAACCAGGGGGTGACTAGAAAGGTTATTGTATGTGAACATTGGCATGATTAATCAATTTCCCATTTCTCACCTTCAGGGGGCCCTGTGGTGAGGGGGGCCGAATGTCAGACCCAGCGTGATACTTACCTTCCAAAGTCCAGAATGTTCCAGTTAACCCTGTGTTCCAGCCGAGTCCGGTAGCTTCGTGAGCTACATCGCCAACAGCGGCGGCCGAACGGGTCACGTGAACATCCTATGTTGCCAGCACACAACCGGACGGAGGCTACATAGAAATGGAATATGGAGAAGCCGAATGCTGTTAAAACTGTTATGGCTTATGTTGCTGGAACCGTGACTCTGTGAATGATGGGAACTGGGACGCTGGGTCTGACAACACTTGGATACCGGGAGGGGGTATTATAGGAAGAGGTTGAGTGGGACATTAGGAATGAGAATGGCGTGAACGGAACGCATGGACTCAATGTAAGGTTCGAACATAAGTACTAGCTGGATCGGGGCGTAGGTAGGGTGGAGGACTATCACGAGGCAGGTATGGGGAGGGGGACAGGTGGTTTCCAGATGACCAATTAACCGTCAATTGGGGTGTGTACTCTGGGTGTGGTGGAGGAACGTATTTAGGGCAATGAATGGAGCTTCGTTCCAGTGCTAACTTAGTTTCAAGATAGTGAATAAAGCTTGTTGAATACTGCAACATTCCTGTTTCCTGGCTTTCGCGAAGCGCGGTTAGGACGTTTTGTTAGCTCCTCTATGCCTCCCCCACAACAACAAAAACGCAGATCCACTGAATCAGAGTCGAGGGGGAAGAAAAAGGCCAAAACAAAACATTTAACACAGAAGGAGCCCTCAAAAACGGCTGAGCGAGAGGCCTCGAGGAGACATTTAGCATTAGAAAAACAATTTTCCAGAGCACAAAGACTTAGGGCCAATGAGGCTGACATGGTTTCCCCCGCCCCATTAGAATTATCCACACCTGAGTCTGCATTTGTTCCACATCAGGAAGTTCTCAGGACCTGGTCTCCTCAGGGGGAAACTGAACAGATTGGTTCTCCTCGCTCCTCATCATCAGATCATGGTCCAGTCACAGTGGGCCATAGTACCAGGTCTCAGGAAGATATTTAGTCTGCTCAGTTTCAGGCCTTTATGCAGAATGCATTTAACCAGTTTATGTCTTTCAAGGGTCAACTGCCTCGTCAATCTTCCTCCCATAGAGGGAGGGCTACGGTTTCCGCCACAGAGATTTCAGAAACCTCCTCTCAGTTAGGTGAGGCTGAGTTGGTTGACCTGGATGTAGCTGATATTCCCTTGTCGGATGATGAGGAGACTGTCCCTGAACAGACTCAGACTGCAGGTGTCTCTGACCCTTCTCTTCTTAAATCTCTATTAATCAAGGCAATTTCCACTGTTAATCTCACTTCTGTACAGGAGGAGAGACCTTCTACCAGTCAGGAGTCCAATCCTCTGTTCGCAAAGAAGGTAACGGGACAAATATATTCCTTGCCCAGAAGTCTTCCGTACCTCCGTGGAGGAACAATGGTTCTCTTTGGCTGCTCCACCTGCGCCTAACAGCGTAGAGAAGAAACTGTTTAATGTCTCCCCATCATTTTCCTCTCTGTTAGAGGTTCCTACTGTGGATAGTCCTCTGATTTCTCTATTCTCTACATCAGCTATTCCAGGGGACATGGCAGAGGCTCTGAAGGCCGACGATAAGATATTTGAGCACTCTCTCCGTCGGGCTCACCAGGCTTCGGCATGGGCGGCCAAGGCGGCAACCTCTTCCTCCTTCTTCGCCAGGGCCTGTATCATGTGGCTACGCGAACTGCAGACCAGCGTACCACCGGATCAGGTTAGAACACATCAAACTTTGGCTAAGATTTTGGCTGCTTCACAATACGTAGCAGACGCCACATTGCACTCCACTAAATATTCCGCAAGATCAATAGCTGCCACAGTTGCCTCTCGTAGGCTCCTATGGCTGAAGCATTGGAGGACAAACTTGAAAGCCAAGTGGCGTCTGTCCACGTCCAAATACACCGGGACACTTTTGTTTTGTTCCATTTTGGATCCACACATTAGTGAGGGCAAAGACAAGCGTAAGGTCCTAGTGCATCCCTCTAAGAAAGTAGACAGAAGGACATCTCAGGACTTCCGAAAACAAGCCTTTCGTACCAGCGGTCCCTGGGAGTGGAGGCAGCCCTTTAGATCAGGGCAATCCTGGGACTGGTCGAGAGGCTCGCGATCCTTCTATCCCAGACAGGATCATTTCCAGGATCGCCAAAACACTGGAGCCAGAGGCCAGTTTCAGGCTAAGCGTCCATTCAGGGGAGCAGGAGGCCGCACTTACAGGCGGTCTAAGTGACGCCAGGGAGGACTCTCCCATTGGGGGCAGACTACAAAGGTTCAGCGACGTCTGGGAAAGCACCACCTCAGACGCTTGGGTGGTAGAGACCATCAAGTACGGTCTCACCTTAGAATTTTACTTCCCCCCTCCAAACCACTTCATAAATTGCCCTCTCTCCCGAAACAGGGTCAAGACAGACCTGATGACTTCAGCCATATCTCATCTACTAGAAATTCAGGCTATAGAACCAGTACCAAAGGAGCAGGAGGGAATGGGGTTTTACTCCATTCTGTTTCTGGTTCCCAAGTCCTCAGGGGGATGGAGGGCGATACTGGATTTAAAGGGATTAAATTATTTTGTGACCTACAGAAGGTTCAAGATGCAGTCCCTAAAATCCATATTAGCCAGCATCAGGAAGGGAGATTATCTCTCTTCAATAGACCTCACAGAGGCGTATCTGCATATTCCCATCCATCCTCAGTATCGCAAGTTCCTCAGGTTTTGCTACGCGCACCGGCATTACCAATACAGGGCCCTACCATTCGGCCTGTCCTCAGCCCCAAGAGTCTTCACGAAGATTTTAGCGGTCATAGCAGCCTACCTCAGGCTGAGGCCGGTGCGCGTGCAATGTTACCTGGACGATATCCTAGTCCAGTCCAGCTCTTTTCAGGCAGCAAAACGGGATGTTCAAACTACGATACTCATTCTGCAGAATCACGGGTTCTCTGTGAACTTCAAGAAGAGCCACATCACTCCAACAAGGAGATTAATACACCTGGGAGCGATAATAGACTCGTCCCATTGCAGGGTATATCTTTCTCAGGAGAGGCGGACCAGCATCAGGAAACTTGTTCATCTGGTTCGCAAGGACAAGAGAGTGCCTCTGGCACAGCTGTCAAAGCTCCTCGGAAAGATGATCTCTTGCCATGGGCCAGGCTCCACTCCAGACTCCTACAATGGTTTTTTCTTCCTTACCAAAAGCGAAATCTCAGTGCTTCCAACAGGAAGGTCACAGTCCCACACCACACATTGCGATCCCTTTTTTGGTGGACAACATCTGCGATGACCAAGGGAGTCATATTCAGGGAACCGAACCGGGTCATCCTCACAACAGACGCGAGTCTGTTCGGTTGGGGAGCTCACCTAGGCACCCACCTGACCCAGGGACAGTGGTCCCACTCGGATCTCGCCCAAAACATCAACTGGCTCGAACTTCGGGCCATTCACCTGGCACTCCTTCAATTCTCTTCCCTAGTCAAGGGGAAGCATGTCCTCGTCAGGACAGACAACGTGGCGGCCAAAGCACACCTGGTCCCTCCTTCAACAAAGAAGGAGGTACCAGGTCCTGGGACCTGATGCGAGAGGCATCGACCCTGGGCATCTGGGCAGAGTCAAACCTGGCCTCCATAAGGGCAGAACACATATCGGGGGAGGCAAATCAACAGGCAGACTCCCTGAGCAGAGTCAAGTTAGACCATGTGGAGTGGCAACTGGATCCGGCTCTGTTTCAGGAGATCACGTTGAGGTTTGGCCGACCCCACCTGGATCTATTTGCCACCCTGACAAATGCAGATTCCCAGGTTCTTCTCCAGATTTCAGATACAAGGAGCGGAGGGAACGGATGCCCTTCGCTGTCGGTGGCCGGCGCAACTATTGTACGCCATCCCACCTCTCCCCGATTCCGGCGACCATACGCAAGTTGATCCTGGAAGGAGGTAATCTTGATTGCTCCACATTGGCCACGGCGTCCGTGGTTTGCCGACCTGGTGGATCTTTCAGTATCTCCTCCGTGGAGGATTCCTCCGGACCGAGTGGTTCTCAGCCAGGGCAACCTTTTGCATCCAGATCCGCAGTGGCTCCAACTAGCCGCTTGACATTTGAGCGGGAAAGTTTAGCCAGGCAGTCTTATTCATTTGAGGTGATCTTGTTGATACAGGCCTCTAGACGCCCTTCAACAAACAGGATCTATGATGCCACATGAAGGGTTTCTGCAAGTGGTGCCTTGTGCATGCATTGGACTCACTCTCGGTTTCTATACGAAACATTCTGGACTACCTATTGGAGGGTCTGAACAAGGGTCTATCGCCCAATACTATCCGCAGGCAACTAGCGGCCCTTTCCTGTATTCTTTCCTGCGACAATTCCAGCCCTTTGTCAAAACATACGGCAGTCAGCGCTTTCTTAAAAGGGGTGGTCAATACCAGACCTCCCGTTGTACATCAATATCCTTCTTGGGACCTGGCCAAGGTTTTGAAGGCCCTGACTTCAACTCCATTTGAACTTCTCAGTTCATGCTCTTTACATTTTTTGTCCTTGAAGGTAGCCTTTCTGGTGGCTATTACCTCAGCCAGAAGGATATCGGAATTAGCGGCCCTTTCAGTGAGGGAGGAGTTATGCACCTTCTTCGATGACAGAGTGGTCCTTAGGCTGGATCCCACCTTCATCCCAAAGGTAAACACTATTTTTCACAGATCTCAGGAACTTATTCTTCCCAACTTCTGTCCTAATCCCAGGCACAGGTTGGAACGCGAGTGACACAAGCTAGACGTACGCAGGGCTCTGCATTATTACGTGAAGCGTACTTCTTCCTTCCGTAAATCGGAGGCTCTATTTGTATCTTTTCAACCTTCAGCAATGGGGAAGAAAGTTTCTTCTTCTACCATAGGTAGGTGGATTAGGGCCTGTATAACTCAGGCCTATTCTTCCTTGTCTCTTCCTGTTCCTTCACGTCACGGCTCATTCGACACGCAGTGCCGCTGCGTCAGCCGCGTGGTCCACGCAAGCCTCTGTGGAGGAGATTTGCAGAGCCGCAACGTGGTCTTCTCCTTCGGCATTTGTCAGACATTACCGGGTGGATGCCTTTGCGGCGGCTGACGCCGCGTTTGGCAGGTGTGTACTTCAACAGGTTGTTTCTTCTCATGATTCTAGAGCCTAGACTTTTCCCTCCCAAGGGGACATGAGGGCTTTGGTATGTCCCATCCAGTGGATTCTACAGACATCCTGCTGGAGAAGGGGCGTTGTCTTACCTGAACGCCTTTTCTCAGCAGGATGATGTAGAATCCACACCCTCCCGCACAAATAGTCTAGGCAGGTGTATCACAATTGGAGCTATTGAGTTGAGATTCGTCAGAGCTGCTTCGCCTCGTCAAAACTGGAGTCACTCCCAAAGGAGGGGCGTGGCCAAAGTTCTGACCTAGTCTGCTGAGCAGGAAGGCTGTTAATAACCCATCCGGTGGATTCTACATCATCCTGCTGAGAAAAGGCATTCAGGTAAGACAACGCCCCTTTCAGGTGAATCTGAAAAAAAGATCAACACCTTCAACGAATAGAATAGTGATGTTGTCCTGATATTTGTACGAGGTCCAAAGCACTCTTCTGATCGAAGTATTTGCAACTGCCCGATACTACTTATTATACATATTCTACCTAAAGTGTAATAGGGAGTTCATTTTAAATGTGTGCTTCAAGAGATAGAAGATTGCTACATTTCGAAAGATTTTCTCTTCTTACCTGATCCTTGCTTGGAAAGTAACGAATAAAAATTCCTAAAAGTCCACCAGCTGCTATACCCACTGCAACTTCTAATACACCTCGCAGGACATTTTCAAGGGTGGAACCTGTTTTGGCAAAGCAGAAAAAGAGGTTTCAAATGGATTTTTGGATAGTCCCTTATAAGCATGGCTGGCTTGGCAGAGAAAATATCCAGTCTTGATTATTGTTATACAAAAAGAAGACAGTAAAAGGAAGAATTAAAGATACTTCTAGCTGAATTTTGTATCCCAGGGAGGGAGAGAAACAGGTGGTCTTCCAGGAGTTGCTGAACTGTATGAAGTACTAGATCATATCTTAAGATTTTGTCCCATTGAATTATAGTGGCTAGGTATCTAATTAATGGTCTGGACATTTACAATACAATATTGGAAATGAATATTGCATGCTTTTATGATTCTCAAGGACTAATTATAATGTGTTTTACAGGTGCTTTAACAAGCTTTAATTTGAAGGAAAAAGTGCTCCAGAAAATACATACTATATCTAGAATAGGGGTTTTCAAACTTTTATGACTTGTGGACTTCAACTCCTAGAATTCCTCAGCCAGCATGGGAGTTGCAGTCCACAAGTCATAAAAGTTTGAAGACCCCTGATCTAGAATATGTGATACAATCAATAGGGCCTCTCTTAAGGATAAGAGTAATTAGAAATATCTGTATGAGAGGAAGGATACTCTCAAGTGCACCAAGCTGTATTTAAGTAATAGGTTAATATTAGAGCTGAACAAAGCATTTTGGAAACAAGAATATTCCTGAGAAACCATCATGGGGAGGAAAGACAAAGTATCTCAGAATTTTCCCGAATATTTCTAACTCATTTATGGGACATTTTGCACATACTTAAAGCCAAGCCTTACACTTGGTTCTTATATGTCCATTATGACTGGCTATGCTGGCTAATATTGCTGGATTATAGCTCAAAACAACTTCTAGATCAAGGGTCTCTAGCACCTGGCCCACGGCTGTGAGCTGTTCAAAACCAGGCTGCCTGAAGCAGCAGGTGAGCACATGCACATTCCTGTCTTGTGCGAATGGAGCTACATGCATGTGTGCGCTCGTCTGTTCGCATGGAACCATCCCCTCCCACCCTGCACCAGTCCATAAAGTTGGAAAGGTTGGGGAACTCTGTTCTAGACAGTCCGGAGGCCTCATGTCACCTGTGACATGCATATAATAGGTTCACAATCACTGCCAATAAGAACTTGGTAACTCAGTTTGTAATACAAACCACTTCTTCACTGAAACTTGATCTATATTACATGGTGTAAAGTATATGTCACATAAGTACATACAGAAGAGACAGTAAAAAATATGTGCAATAAGGTCTCAGGTTTATCCTAACCAAAGGGACAGTTTTCCAATTTTATGAATTTTATTGTGTCACAAATAAAGATTTAGGCATAAAATCAGTATGAAAGGTTTTTATACAAAGCATATTACTTGTATAGAAGAAACATAGCATTATGACAGAGAGGAGAGTGGCTTGGATGTGGCTTATCAATAGAATAGACAGGTACCTGAAGAGAATGCTATCCCTAAGCAGGTGTTAAAACCTGTGATAGCCAGAATATCATCAAAACTTCCTGCAGCCATTAGCAAAGTTGGGACACCTTTATCAACACCATATCCTCCTGCTTGTAAAACCAACATTGAAGGGACTACAACTGCAGGAGACACAGCACCTAAGACAAATCTGAACACAAACACAAATTAACTTTTAGTTACATCAATTTGTAGTTATTCCACTTTCCACAGAGTAGGACCTGCAATTTACAAGAGAAAGGGAAAACTGAAGAACTGTGTTCTGAGTTGGAAAATACAGTACAAAAGTACTAATTTTATTTATGAAAATGTATATGGCTGCCCAACTCACCCTCAATGACTCCAGGTGGCTTACAAGGATAAAATCCCAATACATAAACAATACAAACAGCAATAACCCCTACCCTCCTGGCAACAACAATCAAATGAACTATTTAATGGGCTCCATGCAATTCTGGGTCCCTAGGCCTGTTGGTAGAACCATATGTTCAGGGACTTGTGAAAGACTGCCAAAGTGGGGGACAATCTTATCTCTGCAAGGATGATGTGCTATAGAGAGGGAGCCACCACAGAGAAAGCCCTTCTTGCTCCCATCAGATGGACCTCCTTAGGAAGTATTCCCTGCCTCCCTGCTCTGATGGGTTGGGTAAAATAAACTGTTCCCAAGCCCTGTAGGGCTTTGAAGGTGACAACATAGACTTGGATCTGAAACCAAATCGGCAGCCAATGCAGCTCCCGCAGGAGAAGTGACACATCTGCAAGTCTAGGCCTCAATGTGGGTTGCTGCATTTTGAACTAAATGAAGCTGCCAGATACTTTTCAAGGTCAGCCCCATGTAGAGAGCATTGCAGTAGTCAAGATGGAAGGTGTTCTAAGAATCACTTTAGGTTAAGAATATAGGTTGATTCCTTGAAGCACGCTGGATTGACATTGTATAGATCATAATTGTAGTTCATAACTGTTTATTGTGGCTTAATGTGTGAGCCCAACTATTGGAGTTTGTAAACCAAAGTAGTTGTTGATTATCTGTAATCTACCTTTGATTCGGGAGCTTAAGGTGCTATACATAACATTCCTTTCTTCTATTTTCCCCCAGAAAAATAATTCTGTGAGATAAATTGAGTTGAAAGGCAAATGACTATCCCAAGATCACCCAGAGTGTTTTTGGGGTGGAGGATGAACTAGAAGCTGACTGTCTCTGCTTCTAATCTAATCTAAGCGCGTCACTGTTGCATTACACTAGTTTGTGGTTCAGCATGAACTATCCAGTCATGGTTTATTAAGAAATTGTTGTTAAAGATAGGTCTTAGCAAGATATTTTTAAAAGACTTCTGAACAGGATTAAATAAAGAAAGAAAATTAAAGAAAATTTACCTTTGAATTAATTATGATTTAACCTAGGTTTTCTCACTGAATATGCAACTTTGTAAATTCCAAATTTACAGGGTTTCAAATCCCACCCTAATTCTCTGTGATATGATAAGCATTACAGCATAATCAAACTAAATCAGATGTGACACCCACACTGTACCTATGACTTCGTGGAAGAGGAAAAACAGTTCTGGCCCAGAAAAGGAAAAAAAATGCTATTTTTGAATTGGAAGAAGGGCTTACCCAAGCATAAATCCCCACTGCCATGGCAGGTGCATAAGAAAATGAGATATGACTGCTGCAGTACACGCTTCTATTAGGCAGGGTCCCAAGCTTAATCTAAAGCAGACAGCCTTTAGTTTTTTCAGAGCCTGCAAGATAAATGCATTTACAAGTCAATGGAATTGCTTTTTAAATGTTTTGAAGACCATGGAATAAAACCCTGTGAGATTTGCTCTATTTGGCAATGACCTAGGACCTGCCTCAGGAGGTTTTATGACACAGTTTTTGATTGTTCTGCTTATTTGAATAGCTTCCTAACCACTATGTTTTAATAATTTATTTTTTGCTGTGTATTCTTGTTGGTTGGTTGGGATCAGCATCTATGTTCCCTCTTGGCCAAGCTGTGTTAAGGCATTGCAATGAAAATATTACATTTTATTTTATATTTTATTTTATTTTATTTAAACATTATTTTATGCTTCGGAGTCACTATTGACTCCTATAGATTCTGTGGTTAAGTTCCTGAAGTTTTCTTGGCAAGATTTCAGAAGTGGTTTGTCATTGCCTCCTTCTTGGGGATAAAATGAAGTGACTCTCCCAAGGTCACCCAGTTTGCTTTGTGCCTAAGGCAAAACTATAACAGTTTCTATCCTGATGCCTTAACCATTGTACCAAATTGGCTCTGCACAATGCTGGGGATGCCATAAAAAAATCAGGGTATCTACTATATGGCAGCAAATAAACACAGAGATCCCAACTAGCTTTTTACTTACCTGTATAGGAAAGCTCTACCTAGTGAACATGCTCTTTAGAAAAGGTAGTAGAACTGAGGATTTTTTCTTACGTGCTGAGTTTACAATGGTTTTGCTTGTGCAAAAAGCAGGAACAGGTAAACTGTAGCACTCCAGACATAGCTGAACTACAGTTTCCAGCTTCCTTCACGGTTGGAGATGTTGGCTGAGACTGCTAAGAACTATAATATGGCAACATTTAGCATGTCAAAGGTTTAATGTATTTGCTTATTGCATTAAGTCTAATCTGGCATATGGTCTTAATTTTATATAATAAATTTAAAAAAAAATTAGGAAAAAGGTCATTTTACATCTATTTTAGTTCCAATCTTTTTGGCCAGAAGCCAGAAAGGTTTAGGAAAGATTAATTGGCCTAGATGACATGAGGAACCTAGATTAACAGGCATTAATTGTAAACTTGGTTACAGGTTATTGTTAAATCCTCTACAACTGGACCCATAGTACAGGTTCAGATAATATACTACATGAGTTTTATCAATCAATTGACCCAATATATTGCACAAACACAGCCTTAGTGTCATGGTAATACTGTGTCTTAGTAAGGTTTAGGTATGTTCCTATCAGTTTGCTTGATTAACAGATGGATTTTAGAAGAATATGCTTGAGTTTTAGAACCACTACATTGCTAAAGCTCTAAAATAGATTAGTCTTATCACTGACAGAAGGAAGTTAATTTTAATTATAAATTTACGAAACTGAGCTGTGAGTTAAATTTAGTGGAGTTATATATAATATTATGAGCTAAATATAATGGAAGTTGCCATAGTTCAGGGTTCAGACAATTCAGCTAATCTCAGTGAAAAGAAGAAGTTTCTGATTTTTCAATCATCCAGGAAAAAACAAAGAGGTAGGAATATCTAATCCTCAAAGCTAGTTATGTCTCATTAATGTAAATCATAGTTTATGTTATCTCTGAATGAATTTAAACTTCTATGTGAACAGGGCTCAGAAACAGTCTAACTTCAGTTAAAGGTAAAACTGATCATAATCCTGATGATCAGTGCAGATGACCAAACTAATTCCTACATTGATATCCCTGGCTGATCTCAGAAAGCAAGTAATGTTGGACAAATCCCAGAATAAAACAAAATGAAGTTCAAAAAACCAAACAAATACCAGAATCATAGGCTACTCTATCCAGAATAGGATAATAACAATCTGTTGACAAGAAAACCATATGGATGTGTCCACAAAGTCATCAGGTGTCAAGATCAATTTAAAGGAAACCTAATTTTGTTTTCTTTGCAAAGTTTTTCCAAGACTTCACATTCTAAATCAAAATCCCCAAGTATCTTTTATAAGAGAAACAATTACACTTCTTGCACTTAAGGATAATATCCCTGCTCTACTGGGGGCATTATAGCTCTTACCACAGAGATAAACAGGGTCAGGGTTGAAACTGTTCTTACACATGTCCTGGGAATACATAGGCTGGCTGGGATCCTGGATATTATACCTGACATCTCAGGAAAACACTAGATGGGGAATGTTGAGGTATTTAGGTTCTCCTTGCAATTAAATGTATATCTCTACAAATATTCCTTCCATGTTTTTTTTTTTAAAAAAGCCAAGTGTCACAAATAAAGTTTAGTTGGAAGGAACATTTGGTCATTGCATCAGAGGAAAAGTAGTTCCAAATTAATCTGAGATGAGGACTGTGGTCACACATTATACAAATATATCATTAGTTAAATCACAATGTGTGCCATATAAACCCAATAGGTAGAGTTGTAAATTATGATTTTTGGCTATTTGAATGTGTAGATTTGGTAGACAAAATGTATGTGAATTTTTGGGAGATTGGGAGTTGCATTGGGCGAGAAGCAAGGCAAAGAGGGTGGAGCCATTAAATATATGCAAGAGAACCTAGGACTTTCGGTATTGGGTGAGGCTTTCTAAAGAGAGAGGGTGTGTTTTGTTTTTTGAAACAACGTTAAGCCAATTTTAGAGCAGGCACCATTATTTTCATTGGGAACCTAGCCAATTGATGATTATGTTAAGAGAGGATTACTGAAATTTTGAAAAGTATTCCTAAACACTCTATGCCTTAATCTGTAATGCAGTTCCAGCCACTTTGGTTTTTCAGTAAGCCAGGGTTAACCAAATTGTGACCCAATTCAGTATATGAATCAGAGTTTAGTCACAGCTTTATCACCTGGCTATGCATTTGTTAAGCCAAGACCGTTTGATACTCCACCTTTGGATCAAGGCCAAGGCCAGCCCGGGCCAAGATGATTGAGAGAGCAATACTTCTCAGGGTGGCTCCCCATTTCACATTGATCAGGACTATGTCAGTGAGCAGTGGGATGTTTCTTAGAAGAAATCCAACAAGCAACATTCCTAAAAAGGAAGCAAAAGGTGCATATTATTGACATAATTAGCAGCTACAAAGTCTGAAAAATTTGCTATGAAGTCCAGTGCTTTCAAAGATGTTTTCCTTTTGTATTCACAAAACATCACTTGAACCAAACATTTAAGAAGACAACAGCTGCTCTGTGATCATGCAATCAAAGGGTCATACTCTTGCACCTTATAGAGTCCCATTTCCTGATCTCTGAACACCACAGATAATATTTTCTTCCTGAATAAATATGTACAAATTTGTATTCCACCAAGTTTTGTTTTATAAAATTAACAATCCCACAGTGCTTGTTAGATGCAAAGATACTGAGCATGTTAAATCATGTTTGCTTGATCTAGGCAGTGTGCTATATAATTGTTTTGTACTGCATATTATGTAGAACTAGCCATGAGGGTTTATTAAATGGAGGTTTATGCAATACACCATGGTTAGGTAAGCTATGATTTAGCATGATGTGGGACTTCAGCCAAATTCTGAGAGGAAGTAATTGTGCTAAGTCTAATCATGATAAGCCAAAATATGATATTATTATTCAGAAAACTATGGGTTGGCAGCATGGTGTGTGAACATACGTTTCTTTTTACTAGAGCCTAATTATCAAAAACTATAAATCAATCATACATAGAACAATAATCTACACCTTTTAATGCTGCTATCACAGGATGAGCTGAATGATAATGATTTTTACACATTTACACAACAGGCTCAACTAGGATACCACAACACCACCCACCAAACTGACGTTGGGGGTTTTGTTTTGATTTGTTTTTTTGTGTATATCTAATTTAGCTTCATAGGCAAACTCAACATCTTTGTTTAGTTTATGGATCAATATTTTGTGTGAACCCATAGTAACTGGGTTAGGGTTAAAACACTAAGTGGGATTCAAAAACTTGAAAAATGAAGTATTTGCTGCATTGTAAATTGAACCATCCCTGGACCCAAAAAATAGTGAGTTTAGAACAAAGGAATAATTAAAATCTTTTAAAAATATTAATTAATTTAAATAATCTGCAGGTTGCATGCCCATGAAGGATCCCTTACAAAAACTTGTTAGTGAAACAGGAACAGGTTAAAGCGGTAAACTGAAAAAAATAATTGACAATTTATCTTTAAAAGGGGATAATCAGTTCATTTTTCAAATTATTTAAAGATCAAGATGAATATCTATTTGAGAATGGAAACATTTTTGTAAATGTTACTTTTTAATTTGTACCCTTAAGACTTAGCATTTATTACTATTTGTTTTAAGAACATTAAAACCACCCAGAGTCACTACCCATTCCTTTGGATAATGAGATAGGGAACATATAAATTTAATGAATAAATAAAAAATAGTTAAAATTAGTCAACTTTTAAGTGATTTTCCCAGTAATTAAAATATCTTCACTAATAATATCATACTTTCCAATTAATTATAGGTTAATGATCTAAATCTGTATCATATGGCAGTTTGACAATGGATTATTTGTTTCAATAACCAATCTAAATGTAGAAAGATACAGGCTATCTAAAAACATACTCACCCAAAAGAGGAGGGAGTGGAGGCAGGCCAGGAAATTTGATTAAGCCCATAATTTTACCACCAATTACAGCAAAAAGATAGAGGAATAAAAATCCAAAGAGGCTCCCACCAGGAAGACTTTCATGGGTTGTAATTGACCAGAATACAGCCCAGATCAATGCTATTGCTACCACTGGAAGAAGAAAAAAATGGAAAATATATAAGCATATCGAAAATATTTCACAGAATTTCTTCACACATTTATATTAATGTTTAAAGAAATTATTATTTATTCTTTAATTATTTATTACTAAATTGCATCTGAATTATGACTTATAAAATTGAAGAAGCAAACCTGTTCTTCTAAGGCCAGTATATCCAATTTTGCTAAATGTTCTCTTTTGTGGCTATAAAATCTGCACAATCCAGTAAATTTCTTATCAATCAGACACACAACCAAATGATGGAAACTGGATCATAGACTAATGTAAATTTTATCAAATTGTAATGTTCAAAGTGGCAGAAGTGATTACATGTATGACTGAGGGGTAATTGTGTTAATCATCCCCTATTTTTTGGAATGTTACCTTCATTATAAAATTAAAAGATCAAATATGGCCCTTGGCTAGAGGCATCCATGGGAAGGGAGTAAAAAGATCAAGATGTGACCATGTGACAGACAAAAAGAGAGGGCAGGACTTCATTCTTATGTGTGCAGATGTCACCTTAAACACTACTCCGATATCCTTGCCTTGGGCCTAGAATACACTGTGCATGTCTACTCAAGGAAATGAATCAAATTATTAACATAGAAAATTGGGGCGAAGTTGTGTGACTGGTATACTTATTGAATATATTCGGAGGGTCTAAAGGCTGAAGTGCATCTAACAATGATACAAAAGGTGTGGAACAATAATGTGAAATAAGAGGTATTATTTTGCAAGCTTTGCTTTGGGAAAGATTGACAATTAGTCCCACCTTTCACCCTCTTGCTTTCCTAGTATTGTGCTTATTTTAGAGTTCATAGAACCAATATGTTGTAATGCTCCATCCTCAAATTACAAGAATATATTCTGTTGATTTTCATCTTTGCAGAATAGTTGGATATAGGCAGGGGGCTGCAGAAATGGAATTCCATTACTATTTGGACTCAGTAGCCTAAATAACCCCTTCTACTGTGTGGAACAGAATGAGACTGAAGAAAGTCTGACTTGTTAGGGACCATTTTCACCACCAAGGGAACCAGCATTATGAACAATCAATACTTTTCTATTGCATAGAATTTACAATTCTAGTCACTCATTAACCCATGAGCAAATCAGACAACTAATAGAAAGATAAGACTGAAAAGAAGTAGGTGTGGAAGAAAGAGACTGGAATGATATATTCTATTACTCCTACACTTTTTTGCATGCACCACCCAGCATGAATTGTAAGATGTCCAAAGGGCAAATCACATTTCCTTCAGAGCAATTTTCCCATGTTGACCTATTCTAGAACAGATTAAAATACAGACATCAATTAAATATGCTCCACAAAAAAGGGGCTCTTTTTAAATTCTTTTTTTCCTCACCATTTGTTGCTATTCTGGCAATGATGCCTTGAGGAGGACAAGCACATATTCGTCTTCCTGAACTTTTTAATTCAGCCAGAGGTCCCTGAGCGTGTTCCTCGCATCTGTTCAAAGGAGCTGTTTCTTTTGTTTGTACAATGCTATTGGTGCCTCCAGAATCCAAAACATCCTGAGTACAAATCAAGAAATAATATTAGTAACAACCATTTGTCACATTCTAAGTCCTTTTTTTTAATTTTCAAAAGTAATGAACTCAGTCAGATTTAATTCTAAGTAAAAAATTTGTCTGGAGAAATTTGTTCCATAGTTGAATTCTAATAATGGCACCAAATTGAATTGAACTGAATTGAATTATGTCCAGACAAAAACAGTTGTAGATAAAATATGCTGGTTTATGAAGTCTGTAGGTCTTTTATGACTTTAGTTCTACTCAAATTGTTTATCTGACTTTTATGCTCACTTCTAGTCTATGTCCATACAACAGATAAGTTGTAATCCAATTTCTTTGGAAAGTGATAGATAGAATGCAGTTTTGTGGTTTATAATTGTAATTTAAGAATTTGTCTTGATATAATTTACTCCTGCTTAAAAACATGGAGCACGAGTTCCATGATAAACATTGGGTTTATCACTGATCAGTTTCACAGCTAGCTTCAGGAAATACAGGTAGACTTGACTTAAAGCAATTCATTTAGTGACAGTCATTTGATTCATTTAACTATCATGTGATTCACTTAAACGTGTGATTTGCTTAATGACTGTGATAAAAATGGTCATAATATCATTTAATGACCACAGCAACTGAAATTCCAGTACCTATTGTGGTTGTAAATTGAGGACTATGCATATTAAACTTTTACAATAATGCATATATTACATCTGAATAACTCATTACTCAAAAGTAACCCAATGACTACTGTATATAGTCTGGCTTGGTAGTGAGACTGAGGGGAATTCTAGGGTTCCATAGGGAAGTTGAAAAAGCATCCAGGAAAATGGCAGTGTTCGATCATGAGATCATCTAGCCAACATTCCATCTCAAGAAGGGCCCACAAGAAGCATCTAGCAAGCCCAGAAATAAGACTATCAATCTTTTTTCCCACTGTCAATTCCATGAATCTAATATGTAAACATGTCCCGAAGCAGCACATTCTATAGGTTGAATATACATCATACGAAAAAGCATCAGTTTTGCATTTTCTGCTAGGTACTTTCATAGAATAACTTCTAATCTAGTATTATGGGATACGGAGAACTTCTCCCTATCAACTATTTTTATGCACCTCAATCATATCTTCTTGTGTCATTTCTCCAAGCTAAACAGTCCCAACCACTGCATCCTATCCTCATAGGGAAGGCATTCAAATCCCTCATCTTCTAGATTACCCTTTCTCCACCTTCCCAGCAACGTAATATTTCTCTTGAGATATGATTACTAGAACATTGTACTGTACATAATATTCTAGATGTAACAACGCCATAGATTTATATGAGGCCATTATTATCAGAATCAGTTTATGGTCAATCTTTTCTAATGATCCAAAGCATAAAATTTGCCTTCTTTAAAAGCACTGCATATTTCTTTACACTTCCAAAGAAACTACACAGAAGTGTTCATGAAGTCGTAGAGGTCAAGCTCAACCCTTCCCTTTTCTGAGCAAAATTAATAACAACAGTACATTGGAATGGTCACTGTAAAGTAAACTGGATGGAGAATTTAGTGGTTTAATAATGAGGGATTGTGGGAGTTGTAGTTCAGAAACTCCCGTAATAGTTCCATATTTTAGAATGTTCCATTAGATTTCAAGTCCAATATTTATGGAAGATTCGCTAGACTGGGGAAGATTGTTATGGATATATGAAAATAACCAAATCACATAGTTGTAAAATAACAACAGCAACAACAAATACCTGAGTTGCTCCATGCATGGGGATTACATTATTGCTAGCATTTGCAGATAATATTGTTGGTTTCCAACTCACTGTCACTGGGTCTTCTGCCATTTTGATCAACCTAATTGAAGCAAAAAAAAAAAAGGATAAAGGAAAAAACAAGATACCATCTACTTTAAAAAAGATAGCACCTCCAGCAATGAAGTAGCATTCATAGACATATGATCATCATTACAACATCCAATAAGGACCTACATATGTTAAGTGATCAACATTAATCAAAAGACTATTTTAAATTGATTGATATAATCCCCCAAAATAATACTTTTAAATGGATTCCAATATGAAATTCATCTAAACACTTTCTCTTTCTCTCACTCTTTGTCACATTCCTCATATATACATATATATGCACATGTACATTGGTCCTCAGAATATATTTGTAAGTTAATTTCTTTTCCCAGTTTTCTACAAGTCTTCCCGCCATGTGCAAAGATAACACAAATTATTTTGAGGAGTGAACCACTGGTTGGGGAATCACATGGCTGAGGATGCAAAGAATGTGAGTATTTGCTTTTACCTTGGGTAGATGTCTATCAAAACTCTTCCTAAGGCCAATTCTAAAGGTTAACCTGTTGAGGATAGTAGATGAGGATTATTTCAACTGATTTGATATTTTTGTTAGGATTATTTCTGGGTCCGCTTATCCTGAATCACTAGTCACATGAACACATTCTTGATGAAGATGCTGGAAATGGATGCAAAAATGTGACATGGTCACAAGCACCATGACTGTGTAGTGAGTATTTCCATATGTTCAAGCTGACTAACACTGAACTCTGGAAAATGTTCAGAATAGATTTGATTAAATAACGTTCAATCCTTTCCATATATTAAAGTGTGACTCCCAAAACACAATTATGTACATTTACAACTTGAAACTGAATTATCTTCATTAGCAGTTTCTTTATTAGTTCTGATTTTTTACAAAAAAGTACAAAAGTATTTCTCCAAATGCGAGTTTAGTTATTAAAATTATTGCCACATTTACTAATGTTTGGTAGAAACAGTGATCTATCTAAGCCTAGAATTGTTCCTTTTATTTATACATTGGGGAAAAAAATCTTTTCATCTCATCACAAAGAACAAGGTGGTTTTGTTAGTTGGACTGATAATGAAATTTGCTTTACCAGGTCAAGTGCTAAAACAGGTGTAGAAGTACACAATGGAGTGAGCATTAGTGACTATTCTGCTTTGTGTAGCATGCAAAGTCAAGAGAGTGTTTCCTATTTGGTGTGCACGTCAGGAAGAAATGGCTGAAGCTAATATCCTGAAGAGCATGCCTGCTTGATACACACTTATGCTAATTACAGCTAATGTAAAATATAGTACACAAGTTTCTAAAAAAATATATGAAAAGACAGGCAATGGAAGGCAAATAAAACTTTTGCAAATATACATCAGCTTGTTCATCTGCACCAAGGAAGCTTCAGTGAAGACTTCTACAAAAACAGATGGTTCAGTTTTTGCTTTTAATGTAAAAGGCATGACAAGTAACTTGTAGTTCAAACCTAAGCTCCAGAGCTAATGTCTTTCATGTACCCGGACTTACAGCCTAAATGTTGGAGATGTGGTTGCTTGGATGCCACTTATTACCACATTTGGTGGTCGTGCAGAGAGATAAAAGCATTTTGGATTAAGATATGGTGGAATATTCAGAGAATTTTTAGAAGGAGGGTAAAATTTACTCCGCAGTTATTTTTGTTGGGTATAGTTACTGATTGTGATACAAAGGAGGTTATATTGATGTTAAATTTGATTACAGCCGCAAGGCTGTTAGTAGGACAATATTGGAAGAAGGAATCCTTGCCTAGACTGCAGGAATGGTTTTTTAAAGTGTCTTATTTGGCGGAAATGGCAAAGATTTCGGCTTTCTTAAAGGAACAAATGCAAGAGAAATTTCTTGCTGTTTGGGATAAATGGATAGAATTTATACAATTTAAATTGGATATAAAAAAATACCACATTGCTTTTTCATAATTCTTATTTCTATATACATATACATATATTTCAGTCTTATTTTTTTTTCTCTTTCTTTTTTATATATATATATATATTTAATTCTTTTTTAATTAAGCCTATATTCTGCTCTGGGAAGCTCAGGGGGGGGGGAAGGGGGGGTGTTTTGGGGGGGATGGGGAAGGGGATGTTATGTTTAGTTTTTTGTATATGTTGTTTTCTGTTTTTGTATTGTTATATTTTTTTCTGTTTTTTTGTAAAAACTTATAAAAAATTTCAATAAAAAAAAAAAACCTAAACTCCAGAGCTGACTGACACGCAGAGGATGATGCAGAGGTGATATCCAATAGCAGAATGGAATTGTAACAATGTAGTGGATTGGAGAGTTGGCTTGTGGTATTAAATAACAATCACAGAAAGATCTGCCAGCTAAAATCTACTTCTGATGATATTTCTGTTATCATATAAGGTTTAGAACAAAGTATCTTCAACTCATAAAACAGGAAAATATTTCCACAAACATTTTAAGAACTTGAATCCTTTGCTTAATTGTGCCTCAACATGGTGCAGTTGTTTAAAATTTTATATCATAGGGATTTAAAAAAAAAGAAACTCCAAGAATGAAGAAATTGAGTATCTGCATGCTAATCTAACCAGCTGAAGCCAGCAGGCCTTGGGAAATTCTGGACACAGAATTTTTTTTCAAATCTCCCCCACTTATGATAAATTTGATATTATATATATTGTAGAGTTACAGATAAGTAACTGAGTCCTTTGGGATTGGGCGGCATATAAATAAAATTAAATAAATAAATAAATAAATAAATAAATAATGGTAGAAGATTCCATAATGAAAACAGTTATTTATACGGTATGTTATAAAGCAGCTAAAAAGCAAATATCAAACAAAAAAGGTAGATTTGACAAAATGCAATACAGATATTTTTAAGATTTCAAATATGTTGCTTTAAACTATGCTTTCAATAAAAGAGAAAATATGTCAACATAAAATTGCAACAATAGCAGATCAGTAAAAATCTATCTGAGCATTTTTATCTCTGTTTTGCAAATATTACTTGGGAGAAGTCAGTATCCTTTATCATTAAAGGATTGCTTTTAGCTAATAACAAATTATATTTTAATGATGTGCACACACACACACACACACACAGTACACACACACACATGTCTATGTGTATACACATCTTTTAATTTTATAGGTGAGGCTGCCTTCCTAACTTTTTCCACCTGGGGATACTCTGTTGATGCCAAAATAATAATGAAAAGCTGAATCAGTCACTTTGGTGGACAGACTTATTCTAGCTATAAGAAAATCAGGAGCAGATACACAGTATCTTGACAGTATTGTGAGCTATAGTAATTGTATGGGTACATGTGTAACTATGTTTAACTGTAACTATGCTGTTACTGAAGGTATTGACAAGTTTGCATAGAAATATATTGGTCCCTAAATATTCGGCCACAACTGTACTTCTCTTTAAGGTAAACCTAATCATTAATCTGCTGGGCAACAGCCAATCAGTTATCTTTGGGAATGTCATTCTTGTAATTGTAGCTGGATGCTAGAACTTCAATCTATCTGTACTACACTTAATAAATGATGTTGAACTCAGTTATTGGTTTTACAAAAAAACCATGATTTGCCTCAACTGTTTTACTGAATAAATCACATACTTAAGGATAAGCCATAAACCATGGTTTATAAACTGGATGCTTCATGTAATACATTCTAAACCAAACCCAAACAAATTACATCATAGATCAGCACAATGTGAAAAACCAAGCAAAGGCATTCATTCCTAGCCATGATGCCAAAATGTGTATTATGTCACAGTGCAAGCTGCGACCACAGGTGTGGATGTGATTTGTGTTGACCAATCCCTGCAATTTTTTTTTGCTATTTGCCTGTCTTTTGACCACCTTCTCACCTCTCCTCCCTCTGTAGATATCTATACAAGAAATGGACTTTAGTGCTTAAGAGCCTCATTTGAATTCAAACTTTGCTTCCAAATTAAATCACATTTAGAAAGGAACCTTGACATGGTCACTATCCACACTGGCATAACATTAAATGCTCTTGAACACAAGACACTTCTAGGGAACAGTGTAAAGATCACCCACATTCATTTCATTTGTCATTATGTGCATCTAATGAAGGCCTTGAGGAATGGGCTAGATAGTACTTATTAGAAGATTATCATTGTCACTTAGAGTACAAGCATTTGTATCAGTGCTATTCCTAACCTACTTCAAAGCTCCTTTTCTAAAGTGAGAATACTTCATTAGCCTCAAGAAACAGACACAGAAGCAAAAGTTTATAATCAAAAATATTAACCAGATTGTAACTGACAAGCTTTCAATGAATAAATGATGCCCACCAGAGCAGACAAAGAGAGGGTGATTTTTTTTGGACAACTGGGGCAGTTAAGACAATAAATATATAAGAGATAGCAAATTACGATACAGGTAATCCTCAATTTACAGCCATTTGTAGTGACAGTTTGAAGTTACAATGGCATTGAAAAAAAGCAACTTATGATATTTCACACTTACCACTACAACCATTACAGCATCTCCATGGTCACGAGATCAAAATTCAAACACTTGGCAACTGGTTCGTACTTAGGAAGGTTGCAGGGTCCCAGGTCATATGATCATCTTTTGTGACCTTCTGACTAGCAAAGTCAATGGGGAAGCCAGATTCACTTAGCAACCGTTCTCCTAAATCAGTGTTTCCCAAACTTGACAATTTTAAGGCATGTGGACTTCAACTCCCAGAATTCTGGGAGTTGAAATCCAAATGCCTTAAAATTGTCAAGTTTGGGAAACACTGTAAATTAACAACTGCAGTGATTCAGTTAACAACTGTGGTAAGAAAGGTTGTAAAATGGGGCAAAAGTCGCTTAACAATTGTCTCACACACAGAAATTTTGGGCTCAATTGTGGTCGTAAATCGAGGGCTACCGGTAATCTAGACATTCTTAAGGTACATCTGAAGTCTTGGACAGCGGGAACTGACAAATATGTCTTCCCACTCGCGGGGCAGGCGCGAGGAGGGGGCACGGACGAGTCACGTCCCCAACACCTTGCTCTCCATTCTCGGTACTAGATCGATTCACGAGCAAGGATGGAAACAGCGGGACCTCAGTAAGCAGTTCAGTGATGCACCATTGTCAATGTGTCTGCCCGGTCCGGATAGCAAGAAAAGTTCTGAGATTAAAACGTACCTAGACCCAACTGTTCCCGGAGAGCGACTGATCCTTCCAGAGATTACAATGGAGGCGGAGGCCGATCCCCTGGCTGTCCGCCTTTGTCAAGAATAGATGAGCCGTCCCGACTGACAACCCATTCAAGCCGGGCGGGTGAAAAACGCAGCCGCAGGTTGCAGCGTAACTACTTGGCGCCGCTGCCTCCTAACCCTTCGCCTGGTTCCGCGGTCCGAGGTCGAGCTGCCGATATTAATAACGCTCCCCTCCCTTCTGTGTGGCAAAGAGAGGAGGAGCGGCTGGGAAGAGCCTCTGCTGGCGAGGAAAACATTAGCTGTACGAGCCATCGCGGCAGCTCGTGTCAAGAGGGAGATTTCCCTCACCCTGGTAAAAGGAGAGCCGTTTCGGTTTTCCAAAGCCCACCGATCCGCCCGCAGCAACAAAAATGGGAGACTCCCGGCGGATTGTGTCATTCTAGATCACGTGGTTTCGTGGGCGCCAGCCAACGTGTAGCTCCGCGAGGGGGGTTGAGAACCGAAAAAGGAATTAGTATACCCGAGACGATGAAAAGCGGATGAGGAAAAGCGCAACGAGAATACCCACGTGGCGTTCTCAGACAAGCCTGCACGGCGTGGTTTGTTGCATAAACCACCATCACTGCGTTGGCAGTGGTCATACGGTAGCCATACAGTACATGGATCTTTATACATCATGGTAGCCACGATCTAAGCCAAAATTAAAGAGTCATATTGCCGTTTTGCATAATGCCAAACTGCTACAACGCAAATATAAGCTGTGATGGAAATAGAGATGACTACTGCATCTGTATTATTTCATTTGTAAAGATGCTTAGTGTCTTTCACCTCTGATTGGTTATTGCTGGGGATCTGCTACTCAAAAACACTATAATTATATTACCATGTTCCTCAAATGTGCGCCTATATCCTGACTGTTCACCTCCTTGAGTTTTTGTATTTTTTTGTATTTATGGTAAAACATTGCTGTGTACCTGTATGGCTATTATAAGCAGAGAGAAAGGTATTATGGTTGCTAGCCATTTAAAAATAAAAAGTGAAATCTAGGTGAATATTCCAACACTGACGTTGTGCAACTGAAATAATCTTGGACTTGAAAGAAGCAAAAAGAAAAGGTTGATAAATATTTTTCACATTTCAGAGAGCTCTTGTGACTGGCAGCATCTGAATGATCTTGTCTGATCTTAGAAACAAAATACCAGCTAAGGAAACTATGGCTATAGGCCAGTGATGGTGAACCTTTTAGAGACCGAGTGCCCAAACTGCAACCCAAAACCCACTTATCATCGAGTGCCGGGTGGGTATGGCTCATTGGCTGGGTGTGGCCAATTAGTTGGGCGTGGCCAATTGGGTGGGCATGGCTGCCATGATAATGGCAGACTGGGTGGGACTAAAAAGTTCAATCAATTCCAACTTTGCAAGAACCTTTTTTTTCCCCGCGAGAAGTTGAAATTGACTGATTGAACCTTTTTTTTTGCACATGGCAGCGGAGGCCTAAAGTGAAAAGGTTTTATAAAACCCACTGAAGGCCTAGGACTGGGGTGACGGCGCACGTGCCCACAGAGAGGGCTCTGGGTGCTGCCTCTGGCACCCGTGCCATAGGTTCACCACCACTGCTATAGGCTAAACTTGAAAGTAAAAAAACCCGCCACACATCCTAAATTATGACAGTGGCAAATCATCTGAAAAACAGTACAGAAATGACCAAGTCATCAAAAGTCAAATGTACTGAGGGAAACTACCTTATTTTCATTGTGAAGAAGTAAATCTTTTCTTTCTTTCTTTCTTTCTTTCTTTCTTTCTTTCTTTCTTTCTTTCTTTCTTTCTTTCTTTCTTTCTTTCTTTCTTTCTTCCTTTCTTTTTCTTTTTCTTTCCTTTCTTCCTCTTTTTTTTCTCTCTCTTTCTTTTCTGCCTTTATTATCTTGATTAAAAAAAATCAAGGGGGCTAATACATCTAACACTCCTTTCTCTTTCTATTTTGCCCACAACAAAACCCTGATAGGTCAGTTGGGCTGAGAGAGAATGATTGGCCCAAAGTCATCCAGCCATCTTTCATGCCTAAGGTAGAACCGACAGTCTCCTGGTTTCTAGCCTAGTGCCTTAAGCCAGGGGTCCCCAACCCACGGTCCGTGGTCTGGTACCTGGCCGCGGCATGCCAGCAACTAATCCGCACAAACAAGCAAAGCCCCATCTGCGGGATGCAGGCAGCCACAAAACCATGTACTCTCCGGTCCACAGAAAAAACTCTCTCCACAGAATTGGTCCCTGGCACCCAAAAGTTTGGGGATCTCTAGCTTAAGCACTAGATCAAACTGGCTCTCTACATCAAACTGCCAGTCCAACAATAGAAGAACTGACTCAAATGAAGTTGGACACGACAACTGCTTAACAAATGAGCAATAAATCCATTGTATGAACAGTCTTTTAGAAATTGATGGATTAACTGACATCAAATACTTAACAAATTGTATGAATTTTTATTATAGTAATTAATTTGACATGATTGTTAGATGTGCATATAGCTTGTCCTTTTTATCTTCTGGAATACTGAGAACACTAATTTGCAGGTAGAATGTCAGCAGAAGCTGGTCACATACTCCATCCACCATCAATGATGCATTCATTGCCAGTCATGTATGCTGACTGAAATTTAGAGAGAAAAAGAAATAATTTAGAAAATAAAAACAAACATGGCATTCAAGTGATTTGTAGCATCACCAGACCATCATTGATGTATTGTCTGTCTTCATCACTTTTACTTTGCTCAACTTTAACAGATGTACAGATCTCTATGAAATGACCACTGCAGGTTATGGCAACAAATGTTCAGTTTGTTGCATCACTTACACCAAGCATGTTTTATTGCTATATGAATCCAATCAGTTGGGATTAAACAAACCATGGTTTAGTATGTATAAACTCCAGCTTCAAGAGATTGGTTACTTTAACATCTTGTTGTAATCACAACTAGACTGATTCAGGATATCCTTAGATGAGATGCCCTTCAAAAACATTTCCAGATACATGGTTCCTATGTCTTCTAGGTGATCTATTCCTTTCTGCTTCCAATATAAGAGAGTTTAGTACTTAGATTCTGATTATATTTTTATTTTAATTGTATATTTTCCATCTTTTTAGGTGATTTTTGCAAGAAACAACTTTAATTCTGAGGGGTTCTTTGTGCTCTCTGGGCTTCGTTGTTTTCTTGCAGACATTTCATTACCAAACTAGGTAACATCATCAGTGTTAGTAAGCAGTGGGGTTGATCTCAGTTTATATTCTAGTGCAGAGGTCCCCAACCCCTGGTCCGTGGACTGGCACTGGGCTGCAGCATGCCAGAAACCGGGCAGCACAAACTAGCAAAGCCCCATCCGCGGGATGCAGGCAGTACATGAAACCCACGCCCCCTCCTGTCCGCAGAAAAACCTCTCTCCACAGAACCAGTCCCTGGTGCTCAAAAGGTTGGGGGCCTCTGATCTAGTGGCTTGCCCTGTTAGT